ATATAATTCCATAAAATGTGGACCAATAAACCTTTTGTGAGTAAATTGGAATAAAATCTGGTAAGTGCACATATCCACATGTATATGTACCAGTACACTGCGTTATCTTGATTTCACATACATGTACATGTAATTTGAATTCCCCAGACTAAAGACATTGTTGCTACAGGTACAATCTACATGTACCCGGTATACAGTACCTCATGATTCAGGGTAAGCTTTTGCATAGTGACCACCATCTCTGGAATGGATTGGTTCCTTTGTGCCCTTCTTGTCCATTGAAAACAGTGTATTGTTGCAAGGCGTCTCCTATACGTGTAACTAAGGAAAAGCTTAGGTATCAGTACATGTATAGCAACAGAGTCTTTAGTGCGGAAAATTCAAATTGTTATGTTCGCGTGAATTTACAGAACTCATCAGTGTACCAGATGTTATTCAAATTTAACTTGCAAAAGGCTTAAATTACAAGTTGACAACCACAGGTACACTGTACATGTACCTGGATGGTGTCATCTGCAAATTGTGGTGAAGGAAAAGCTGTGATCTTTTGCGAAGCGTGGCGTAAATAAAATTGAACCATGTATAATTAAGCTTTGCACATATGACCCCTGTGTGTCCCAACTCACACAAATCCAACACCATCACCCTGGGCCTTTGACGCATGTACCGGTACCGTACTAAATATTCAACAAGTTCCTTAGGTACCATATGGTACCATACATGTACCATACAAGTACAAGTACATGTACAAGCAAAAACCTAGCAAAAAACCTGCTGTTGGAATTTAATGGACCCTACTGGGCAATTAATTACTGGTAGTGTTTGTATAATGGATTTTCAAAATACTGGTACAGTACTGTACATACACAGGTACATGTACATGTACACCCATACAGGCATGACAGGTGTACATGTACATGTTTATTTCTAACTTTTATATGACAAGTTATTCAATTTTTATGACTCTTTAGGGTGCAAGTAATAACACACTGGTACATGTATGAACATCTACATGTACATACTAGTACCTGAACGTAAAAACCATGTACATGTACATGTAGGATGTTATGCACATGTACAAGTACATGTAGAAACCTAGTCCACACAGGGCTCAATTTTGTCCCCTAAACTTTTCTGAGTACTGAATGGTGAAATTGGCCAGTGCCACTTGTTTAACTACACATGTACATAAAGTTCTCTAACATTTTACTGTCGCTACACATACATGTAACAAAATACATGTAGTAATACAATTTTGTCAACAACCTGTCACCTTGAACCAACATTTGTGTCCACTCTTGGGCCGATGAATCAAACTTGTTTCCTATTCTGGTTTGATAACTTCCTGTTGTGGTTGACACAATAACTCATTAAAGACAGGAGACCAGCATCAAGTTCATACATGTTCTAGTACTGGCAGGAAAGTGAGTGCATTTAATCCAAACATATTACTGAGGCTTTAAATAAAGTAAATCAACAGTGTGACAAATCGCACGTGACTGTTGGGAAAGTGAAAGCTATCCATTGTATGTATATTTACAGGTAATATTAGAAAAATCCAAAGTTTTCTGCAAATGTGCAATGTACATGTATGTGTGAAGAAGAAAGTGAAACTTGGAATGCAATCAGTTGTTCTGCGTGATAGTTCGATCTTTGCACAATCTCTCAATCTTATTGCATGATTTTTCAATAATTCCACTCATTTCCAATCACCGGTTCATTCTAATGCACGGCTGTAGATTTTTCAAACATGGAAGTAAGGATTGAACAATGGTGCAGAACAATGAGATGACCATGCAGATTGGTTGATTACGCCTAACATGTACATGTACAATGTACCACACCAGCAGACAATTTCTCGAAAGTTTACGTAATGGGGTAACATCACTTATAACACAATTTATTGTGTATGTTGTGCAATAAATTAACAGTGATTTCATGAAACTTACGCACTGTTTGACTAGCCTCGTCATTCAAACTTAACAAGGCTTATATGAGAAACATAAAATTTTGTTGTAGAAGGTAATGAAAAACTTGTTGGCTGCAAGAGAACTGCTAGATTTTCTTCCCGGTTTCGAGGAAAAGGCGAAAACTTTTTCGAAATGGCGGTGGAGGTGATTCAACTACTGTTTGATGACTGTTGTGACATTGGAAAGTAACTGCCATCGTACCGTAAAAGCTGTTATCGTCCTTGTCCAAGAAATTTAATATTATTGAAATGTGACACAGCTTCAAGTCTACATGGATATGTAACTTAAAATTGTGAAACTGAACATAAGTATTGCGTAGCTACAGCATAAATTTGTGGCACAAGGCAAATTTATGCACGGTTCAAAGTTATGCCACATTTCATGAAATACATGAGGCTGCTGGAATACATATACATGTACATTGTACATGTACTGGATGGGAGAGGGAAGAATGCTTGTAAGCCTCTGAATTGTCCAGCACACTTTGCTCAATATCACAATAGTCAGATATGCAGGATTTCTGTTTATGTCTCACATTGCACTTTGGCACCAATGACAATTTTACAGACCAAACTTGTGCCTGTACAATGTACCGGTACATGTTTATTGTTGGTGTTATTAAAATTTACCATGCACAGTGGAATGCAGTCATGCACACACCGCAATGCAAACACTTAAAAAAAGTAAAGTTGACCTGATTTAATCAATTAAGCTTTTTAATTTTAATAAGCATCTTAATCTGTTACACGTACCTTGAGAAAGAGCACATTTTTCAAAAACAGGTATCCTCCCTACAGTCAGCAGGGGTCAGTATATAAACTTGATATCAATCCACAAAGACTGAGAAATGTGCCTCAAGTAAATCCAGGATTTGTTTCTGCTGGCCTATACTTGGACCGGTACATCACTTTAAACAACCAAGTTTCAAAACACATCATATGATACTGTACACATACCGCACACGTATGGGTGATAATCTAGTGATGAGGAAAGCTGCTGGAAACATTTCATACAGTGGCAAGAGATGACTTGTCGCAGTACATGTAATTCTTGTAGTACATGTACGTACATTGTACCAGTACAGTACATGTACACGCATTAACCTATACATGTACCGGTAGTCTTTGGGTTAACATTCACATATATATTTTATTTTAGGGTACCGTAGCCTTCGGACTACGGACCAACAAAAAAATCAAGAAGTTAACCACTTGCTGCCGGGTGGTTTGAAAAATTTAGTGCACATAGTCAGGACTTTTCAAGATGTTCAGTTTTCAGAATTCTTCAAAAACTCATAATTTCAATTAATGGACGTTTACACTCATACAAATTACTGTCTGGTGGCCACCCTAGTCTGACAGACAAAATCTACTGATGCCCGAGTATTTCAGCCAGGCCTGCAGCCTTGTAAAAAGACACAGATTGTGTGGTGTTATGTAACTTTCTCTTGTTCAGGAACCTGGCACTGCTGACCTCTTTTCAATAGGGGCCAGATTAGCGTGCAGCGGTGCTGTGTGGCTCATCGCAGCAGTGGTGGAGAGATTTTGTTCCCGTTGGTAATCCGCTTGCACTAAATGCCCCAAACTGTGGTATATTATATTAAAACAAGGCTGGATTATCTCCACTATTGAGGATGAAAAAATGTCGGTAATGCCCAGCAGCCTGTTTTTTTTGTTCCAAGTACGGTCTTTTGTTACATGGTCCAGTTCCCTTTGTCCGATTTCAGAGACCCCAGCCACACGCATGACACGTATAAACACACATTGTCCGAAACCAAAGTCCCCGGCAGCAAGTGGTTAAGAAGCTGAGGAAATCTTTTGTCCCTTTAGTATCACTGTTACCATCATGTACCTGAATGGTATTAAGGAACGCTGTCTGGATCATTCTACATGTATAAATTTGCGATCCAATTTTTCCCCATCCCTGTTACATCTGACGTATGATTTTTTTAATGTTTAGAACTCATTGTTTAATGTCAAAGACTGAATAAGTACTGCAAATTACCTGCCAAACAAATAAAAATAGTTTAAAGTCAATTTCAGTGATACATCCCTGGCCAAACATGTCAGATGGTATACATGTCAGAGGTAACAGGCATGGAAAAGTGTCACACTTTGGACCCCAAATTTATGAATGAACCGTCTGTCACTTCATATACTGTATCATGTAGTTTCATTATTTTGATCACACAATTTGATGTACACATTTTTTACATCCTACACTTAGGGTCTGAGTACATGTACATACAAAGCCGTACCTGAACTGCTATTTTCCTCTCCAAATAACACTTTTGCTGTTTCTTTGTACACACTACCAGCAGCCACAACATTCTGCATGCAGATGTGATGCCACAACTCTTTCCGCACAATGTGGTTCACCGGCCACTGGCCCTTGCGCACGAGTTTCTTCAGTCGGATTGGGTCCTTTGGCAAGGGTGAACTCGGTGTGGAACCATTTTCCAGGGGACCAACCAGGTCATTTGTTTCTTTTGGGGCAAGATCCACCCATGGCATGAGAACAGTTGAGGCTCGGGCAGACATACTGGTACAGGTATGCTTCCTTGAATGAAAGTCTCCAAACAAAGGAGTCACCTGTTATACTCTGTGGATGAAAGATAGAGAGAATGCCGAATTCATTAACCCTAACTAACTCCCTCAAACTTTTTGCTAGGATACAATCTGAACCTAAGGCTGACATGGCCGAGTTGAATCAGTAATTAACAGTGTGCGACTTAACGATTGGTTGGGGGGTTCACTGGCCGTGAATACCACGCTGTCCAATCTCTAATTGTGAAGTTTGCAATGGCACGTTGGACTGCTCTCCAGTTGATGATAACCTGCAATGTGCTTTCTTGTACAGTACACGTACATGTACGTGTCAAAGTTGGAACAAGCAAGTCCATACAGGGCTTGATGAAGGTACATGTGTACATGTAAATGTAGCCTCAAAATCAAAATGCAGTGACGTCAGGCATGTCAGGAGTATTTCTTTTATGTATATATTTTTAATCCATAAAAAAATGTGTCCATTAAACCCAGAAGTGAAAATGTGGTGGAATTTTCCAAAAGTAGATAATTTCTTCTTTAAAATCTTTTACACCTTATTTAAATTTTATTTTTAAATGTAAAAAAACTGAATTGAAATTGTGTGTGTTGAATATTGTTTTTAGGTTTCTCTGGCAGATCTACTAAATATTCCAAGAGTTAGTTTGCCAGCTTGAAAGGTTGTATGGTCATCTGCGCTTTCTAACATGCCTTACGTCTTCTTCCACCAGGCAAGCCGCACTCAATCCATAAAAAAATACTCCCTTCCTACTTGGAAAATTTGGAAGAGGGGGACACTTTTTTTTATTTGGCTTTAGGCTATAGGCCCTAATTAAAACACACATATAACTTCTTTATAAATGATGTCAATATGGAAATAAATGTTGATTTGATTTTGGTCCTCAGCAGGCCCTATATTCTAACGACGTTTGAAATATTTCTCTGTCAGCCTAGGCCTGTACTAGTAAATAGTAGGCCTATCAGTAAGTAGGTACCGGTACATGAATGTACATGTATATACTACTTGTACTACTACTAGGCCTACTAGTCTAGTATTAGGGGTATGTAGGCCTGGGGCCTGCTAGGCCTTAGCTCAACTGACATGACAGAGTGGCGCATTTATAATGGTAGGCCTAGGCCTTACTCTTTTTTAAATTTTGTATTAGATCGGTCATAATTGATTGAATACAAAAATTCGAAAAAAGAGGAGTAGGCCTACGCCTACTACTGTTACTAAGTACTAGGCTGCTCAGAAGGGCTACCTGTACATGTACCAGTAGCTACATGTACATTGTGCGTCTAAGCCTACTGAAAACATGTGGGCCAACACAACTACATCATACAAGTAGAACCCCCAGAACTGTGGGGTCCGCGTCCGATTGGCCGCCGCGGTCCCACGAGTTCGTGGACCTCACAGTTCTTGAGGGGTACTGTGCTACGCCTACCTGTCATGCCCGTAGTACAATGACAAACAGACAAACGGCCATATTCATGCCAATTTCAGCATTTCTGCCATGATGACATATGATTTTAAAAAGCTGACAGGGTGAAATATTCTTTCTAGACACAAAAGTAATATACATGATGTACTCACGAAAGAGAAACGGAATGTGTTCGGGTCTTGTTCGCCCCACACTGAATGCCAAATTAAAAGACATTGCTACTCATTACATGTACATATACTAGCAAAAATAATAGGCGGGTCCCAGTACATAGTTCGTTTCAAAGTGTTTTGAACTCACCCGGGTACCAGACCCTAATTTTACCAGAGCAACAGTGAGCACTCAATAGAGGTCGCCATAGAGGATTACAGTGGATGGTGAGATCATGGAGGAATGTTGCTCAGCATCTAAAGGCAACTGGTTACTTATTCCCCCAAAAAGTGAAAAACTGGAAGTTCTTGTAGTTGCAATAATTTTTGCTGAAAACAATAAGAGATTTGATAAGACCAGAATACCCATGGCAGGCCGCCCCAACAACCCTGGCAAGTAGTTGGTCAGATACAGGAAATCAGGAAAAAATTAGGGACAAATTTTTTTAATCTATTCAGAAGATTAAATGAAATGTATGTTCTCTCGCAAACAAAAATTGTCTCGAAAAAGTCCCACAAAACGGCAAGGTTACGAGATACATCACTTAATAATTATCATAACTGGAAAGAGACAGTTAAAAAGGCCTCATCAGTTGTGCAACAATTCAAGTGCTAGTTGGCAAATTCACAGCGATAGAAATAATAATGCCGTAAACAGCAGTGCATCAAGCCCGGATGACGTTTGGATTTAGTGTCTGTTTTTGTTTATTTCTAGTACCGTCTGCAATCAAGACCAACCGGTTATAAGTTCCTAGATACTTGGCCGCCACTGCAAGGGGACCAACTGCAGTGGACCTTTTCCGATTAATTCGAAACGACCAAACTTTCCGAACCCATCTTCCATAAAATGGGATTTGTCAATTTTTTTCGAAAGTCTGGACGGCCGGTAAACATCACTCTGTGGAATTTCTCACCGTCAAAGTACATTAATCACACCCCTTTTCACAATTTCTATCAGCCGTTTTTGCACTGCTGTCCATTTCTACACTTCAGATAATGTTTTTGTGTGCAAACATCACTCTAAAACTCACAAATGCTCTGTACAAAGAAAGAAACATAAATGGTGGTCCAAAATAAATGGCGATCCTACTATAGGAAAAATATGTGAATACCACTTCATTTTGTAATGGAATTCACGACCGTATTTTTAATTTTGATATGTTATTTAGAGAAAAACACATTTCCAACACGAGACACGTGCACGACAAAGGAGGGCAATGCAATTACTATTTTATTTGCTCATTGTTCTGTACAATTTTGTCAAATAAAATTTAACGAAAACGAATTTTAGCCCGCTTGAGATGTCGGGATTCTTGTGTACAATGCAAACAGGACGGGCTCGAGTATAATTAATACATACATAATTAATATATAATTTACATACATAATTTTGAGAATGGTTAATTGGTTTCCCAAACCAAGCAGTCAAAGCATATTAATTTACGTTTGAGCAGAGCATCCGGTGAGTTTTGACTTCCATTAAAAGAGGTTTTCCCTTCAGATGTCACCCTTACTACCATGGGGTCTATCCGGTCTTTTCACGTCATAGTTGTATTTTTCATACAAGTGGCTGCTAAGCTTTTATGGCTGGCCGTCAGTAAAACGATAATTCAAAAAGTATTAAAAATCCAAAGCAGCTATTGGAATACACGTATTCCTACCATGTATTTCTAAATACTAAATAAACAATCCTCTCTAATATTTAGTAGGGAAGTACACGAAATTGAGGTAAAACTGGAAAACCAACCAAAGGGCGATTTTGTTGAATGACTTCAGACTACTTTGATTATGCTCTGTGATCCGAATAATGATCCTTGAGACGATAAGCGAGCTACGGTTCCCAGACGACGACGTGGCTCTCTGAGATCGACAGTTTCAGTCCAGTCAATGTAAGCACCTTTTTATGCAGAAATTTAAAAAAATCAAAGTACTTGTTTTGGCACTTCGTCAAGAACTGCAGATTATCATACGTATATGTTATAGCATACAAATTCCACCTCAGCGAAATATCCATCTTTGATGGTGGACGGGACAATTTTCGCAAATTTCGGGGACAGGTATACTGCTTGTGAAGTGCTTGAGCTACTGATGACCCCCCCTCCCCCCAGTGGCAAGCATACCCCCTTGTCCTCCAACTAGAAATATAATTATATGCTGGCCAAGGTGGGCAGGGCAGGGCAGGGTTTTTCTTTATCATTTGAAATTGGGTACGAATGGTCCTCATGTTCTATCGAGTCCGTTAGTGGTCAGGTTGGACAGTCTTTTTGCCATTCTTGCTTTATGCTGGAAACCTTGAACTGTATGATACAACAGGACGAGGATCTCAAAATTTCAACGCGTGCCCAACTGGTAGGAAATGATTTCATAGGGGTCAACAGGGCAATTGGGACCAAATTTCAGACTACACCGGGACCTTATTTTCCTTTCTGAATTCTATGTGATATGCACCAAGGGGTGGAGGGGCGGTGAAGGGGCGTGCCAGAATGATCATTGTGTAATTACCTTAGTGGCTGAACTGAAGTTGAAGTCTCCGGCTGGAATTGGGGTCCCGTTGTAGGTGGCCTTCGTAGGGACTGTAGTCAGCCCCATTATCTGGATGGTCTCAAATGCTAGCGAGTATGGATCAGTGTACTTGTTGACTATATTGTCAATCGCAAGGGTACCCTGAAAGATAACGGGTCACTGCTCATATTGGCGTTCAACCAGACGCAATTTAACCCTTTGATTATTTTAATCAGATGTGGACTAAGGCTACCTTCAAGTCGTCAAGTGAACAAAATTTCATTATTAAACTGTTCCAATTCTTTGTTTTACAATCGGATGAAAGCAACAGAAAAATACTATAAAATGTTTACACAGCTTACGTAAAACACTGAGACAAGACGTACCAAGAAATAGTCTGTTTCTTTTAAACCACGCAATAATTATATTGCATAAATAATGACCTAGAAAGCTCAAATAAAATAGCAGACACTGGAGATGACAACTTGTATGCCCTCTCACGTGTTTGGGTTCACTTATTGGAGTCCCTTGTCACAAATACCGGGCACCCCACCCCTCTTTTTTGAATTCTGGAACAGCCTCTGCCACAAAGTTGGCCTATGTGATTTGAAGTAAATGTCATAGTTACCAATCCATTCTCAGTCACGACACCAAATTCGGTCAATGTGAATTTCTCTCGACTGACAGTGTCTGCAAAATAATAAAACAAAAGTTTTTTAAAATTTACCTTGGCACGTGTATGCAATGATGGTGTATGCAATGAGGTGAAACTTTGGGGCACCAGAGAAGTGCACACGTGTTTAAAGGGGCTCTGCTTGTACAGTTGCGTAGCCACTGCCCGTAGGTACCGGGGTGACGAATAAGCCAAGGGGATTTTTGGTATTAAAAACACTCAATCTTTTCATTTGTGAGGAGTCCTTACAGGACAGGCTCTATATGGATATTTAGCAAGCACCCCTTTAGTTACGAGCAGATTACAAAATGTAAAAGTGGATTCTATGGCCTTTTCGCGACAGTTGGAGGTTTAAATTTCTTCTGGTGACCCATCAAGACATCCTTAATATTATAAACATAACTTTGCTCAGTGGCGTATTAACTACCGAGTCTTTTTGTCAAATAGTTTTATTAAAAATAAGTGCTTTTACATGCAGCTGAAAAAGCAGCAAAGAAAATCAGTCCATGCAACATTCAGGACTAACCCGTTGATGTTAATAATACTAAGGGAATATGTACTTGGCCGGTCTTACGGCTCAGGAGAAAGGACGCGACTAATCTAAGCGTTCACTCTCCTGAGCCGGTCTTAATCGTTGCAGCACATTATTTACTCCGATTTATAAATACCTGTTTAGCCAGAGAGTCAAAAGAAGTCAATGTATAATGGATTTCCATCGGTTTTGTTCCAGAATTTTACTTTCATTTTCCAGAAAATTCCCGTCCATTTTATGGTATAGTCCTTGTGCAAGATGTCCAAAATAATCCTCTAATAAACATGGCGCGCGCATGGCGAGTCACGTGCACACAAACTTACTCTTGACCAATCAGAATCTCGTATCCCGGTGCCAGCATGTGATTTACATAGCAGACATTATCACTTCTCAACGGGCATTAATGTTAATACACTGTCTAATTGCACCTTGTTGAATAGGGATACTGTCTTAGGTATTTATAAATAATAATTCAAGCGTTTATGTTGCGTTCTTACACGAACTGGTATAACAATGCTTTGCACATGAAATAAAGTAATACAGAATTGGAAATTGACAAACGATCAATTTAATTTCGACCCCCACCTGGAATCACCTGCTTACATACAACTTAAAATCGTGAATCATAAAATAAAGGTACTTGGGAGGAATTATCAGTATTTAAAATCAAAAGTCAAATCTAACACGACAAACCAAGAACGTATGGCTTTGACGTACCGTCCAAAGAAAAGACATTGTCATTGTGTGAGATTTGATGTCTTCAGGAGACTGACGACAGACGACATGCAGTTTTATGACGACGGGCAAAGCATCATTTCAAATAGGGCAGTTTTTAAAATATCGGCAAGTTTTCCCTACAAACCAGTTAAGGAGAAAATGTTCAATCGACCCTGTCACGACGCGAACCTGTCATGACGCGAACCTGCCATGTACCCAATGCCTATTCAAATTGGGTTTGGTCCTTGCTACTTTTCCGCGTAGTAGAGACTTTTGGGGTATTTTTTTCCGTTGGAATCGGCACACTAATCACTCTACGGTTACTTACATAACAGGCTGTTCCCCAATGCAAAGTCTCACCTTACGCGCTATCCTAGCATTGAGAGATGAACTTTTAATTTCCCGACTGCAATGGAGTACCTGCTTTTAAATCCGTTCATATATTGTATATTATGTAGGTATTTGTAGGCCTAAGGATTTCAAATTCAAGGACATTTTCCTTATTATCAGACACAAACTGTGGGAAACACACCCAACACTTGCCTTTGCGAATTCAAACGAGCACGTGGACTTTGACTCCCTTTTGAAAATGAGTGCTTGTTGAAAATGAGTGTTTGTTTTTTTTACACATGAAAGCCCATTAAATCGAACTGAATGAATATTCCAGCAAATCTGATGCAACTTCTTTTTAATTTAAATATCCCTTTAATGGCACATTCCACAGAATAAGACAATGAATAAACTGAACAACAAATAGAATGGTAATTGTTGCATTAGACCGGTGAAAACCTATTTTAAATGCAATTGTAACTACCAAATCAACAACTGAGTGGCATTGGGTTGATTTTTGACGATACTGCTTTGTATGGAATTCAAAAGTGGTTTGCTATAACTCATGTGCTCTCATCGTCGTTTCCAATGTCTGCACACGAAAAATAACTTGAAACCAGTACTTATGTTTGGAGGTCAAATTGAGGGTTGGTAAGACAAAGTGCAGCAGTGCGTTTTCTTTTTCTATTTTCTTTGAGTTCTGTGCTTGTGTTTACCGTTTGTCACTTCGCCACAGGACCCCTTCCTGTGCCATCCGTTAATGCTCATACCTACCGAGTTCTCGTGGGGAGTAGGCACACAATATTGTTGGTCAACAAATCAATATACTGAGCTCTTCATGTAATCTTTTCTTCAGTTGGTAACAACGTGTCAAGCGTGACACTGTTGTCGTCCACGCTAGTTTGACGTGGCTCGTGTTAAAACAGCTTCACTTGCATTTTATGAATGGTCGGTATCGATTAGTTTTCTTCTTGAAAATTAAGATTGCCCATTGTCCTGATGATATTACGAAATTACCATTTGATGTGTAAATACTAGCTGCACATGTTATGGATTTCAGACAGTAACGTGAGGTACAAACGATGAAAGAAAGATCCAGTCAAGCGGAACCGAAACTGTTTGGCAGAATGAAAGCAGGGGAAACAGGGCAAGTAAAACAAGGGTAAACAGACAGATAAATATGCCAGATAAAACTGGCACTGCCATCTTGGAACACCGTTTATTTCTAGATTCGATCATCAACTAAATAATGTCAAAGCGAGAGGATGTAACACACACCATCATGCTCCAACAAGGGCAACTAACAACATCATTTTGACGTGTCACATGCAATGCTCAATTCCTTTATACGTCGTGACACTGCCTTCATAAGGATCCATGCCATAATCTTATTTAGACACACTTTTGTGTATCTTTGTACTCTTTTTCCATATGTGAAAACGTTTGAAATTCTTTTTGAAACACTAAACCTTTTCCAAGCTTTTCTGGACAAGTGAGGGCTGTGATGTAAATCAAGTAAGACACCGTTCAGTTTACCTGTTTTCAAATTGAAATTTTAAACCCCAAATGTGCAGTCTGAAAATATTTCTGTGTATATATATATTTCTGTAAATATTTCAAATCAATACAATTTGATGTCTGGGATTACACCGCAATTTGGCTCACGAATAATTATGCGAAGCACAAATACGAAAAACTCCAAACTACAGGTTGAAATGGCTAAACAAAAACTGAAATTAAGTTCAATTGAAACACAAAGGTGCAATTTTAAGAATTGTACTTGTAGAAAAATAATTGTTGTACATGGTCCCTTTAAATTTTGTTTTGTTACTTTTGGCTTTTACTCGTACGGAAAAATACGGGAAATGCCCAGTCTCCTTTCTCAACTTTATCCCTTAACTTTATCTATTACTCTCCCAGTACCACATGAGACATTACGGTATTGTCTCAGAAAAAGGAAGGAATGCCTTTTTAGAAATTAGGAAAATCTGATTATTTAACTTCATGTGAAATTTGTTCTAGAAGCCTTAGCACCATTTCGTTTTTGCAGATTTGGTTCGTTTTCAGACATGGCCATTAATCTACGAAACACTGCCAGATACCTTTAAAATACGCAGTGCGTATTTTCCCACTTTTAGCCCACGTCTAGGAAATTGACCAAATTTATTTCAATTATTAAATTAGTACTACTGAATTTAAGCGAGAAACATTTATCGTCTTAAAGGCATTCTTGCCCTAATGGTTTCTTCTCACAGATGAAACACTGGGGCAGAGTCATTAAGTTATTGTCATTCCACTTGCGATCTGTATACCTCCAACACGCCCTCATTATGGGAATTTGCTGGCTGGTTGTTTGCCCTGTTGGAATAGGTCATTAGGCTGCCATCTTCCACCCATGTCCACACCCCTCCCTGACAATATCGTTGCCTCTGTATCGGAGATATGAGACAAAGTAGGTATTAACATAGACTGATGTGTGCACGGAGGAAGGAGACAGAAGGAGCTGGCACGGTTCAAGGGCAATGGGGGATGCTAGAACCATTGTGCGTGACGCTACCTTTTCATTTTTTCTTTTGCTCTTTCAATTTAGGAGAAACAAAGGAATTTAATGTATACTCTGCATAATGACCCTGCAAAATCATTACAGACCAATCATCTAATTTAAAATATTTAATGCAGAATTGTGAATCCAGCATTTTCAAATCTTCTATTGAGGGAGACTAGACGACTGTTTGGGAGGGAGAGGAATTTAGCCCCCCCCTAAAACTGCTCCTGAGGAGTTTGAACTGCCCAAGCTTTTATAGGCCTACCTGGCTAAATAGCACTTTCCGCCATGCCCCTCCATAGCCAGACAGCAGCGAGCGCTTGCTACGCACCACTGTGTCACAACCACAAGGCTCTTGTACCCTATAGGATTGTCGCCGCAATGTTTTGCTGGTAATCCGCATCCTTATAACTTTTTGTACTGAGGTACAGGAAATTGAATATTCGTGTCTTCGTTTGTGCTTGGTATGATTTCACATCAGATTTTCCTTTGTAATTCTATGGTTCTCATGTCTTTTCGACTTCTTTCATTCGTGTGAGTTAAAGTTTATATTCATGATTTTTAAATATGTAAATTGTACAAGCCCATCGCTAGCAACTGAAAGGTTACAGGAACACTTACTGTTCAAAGGTTCACCAGCTCGGTTTAAGTGAGGAAGACCATAGTCCAATCAGTAGAATCATTCCCTATTACTTCTTATAAGCACAGACACTATTTGTTTCGAAAAATCTTTGATCCACATAGGCGTCACAGGACTGAAAAAAGACCCCCATCATTTTTTATTTTCGCACAAGTTACCCTTTTTGTATTTAAATTTCTTCTTTTATGATTACAATCCACCGGCCAATCATAATAGGTGACGTAAACGGGACCCTCGTCAGCGTTATTCGAATGCTGACCGGAGACGAGGAAAGACTTATTTAGTTCCTCTCCATTTCCCGTTTTCCAGGTAAATTTGTTATTCTGTTTTTTTCAATATGTCATAATGAATTGATTTTGTACAGTTGTATCCACAGTATGCAAAGAGTTTGTGCAAACATATAGTTATACGTATCGGCAAGGTGGATGGATTTGAGATTTTGGACACTTACTTTTTTCTATTTAAACTAATTTCCCAATTTCATCCTTAAGAATCTTCAAATACAGTCCCTGAAAAAAACAAAGCGCTTAATAGAGGACCTTAGGAAGTTGAAAACTCATTATTCCAAGTGGCGTTGACTGCCCTGCTTCATTTGGGTCTGCCACTCGTTTCTTTCCGGAAAAATGCCAATGCCGATCTGAGATTTAGTAATAGACACTGGCATTTTATCTTCCGCAAAACTGGACTGTCCTTCTTCTTTTGTGCGCCTCCAAGAGTTTAAAAGGCGTTAGCCAATCACAACGCACGAAATCTGTCGACCCTTACCAAACGCACATTGGATCTACAGATTCCGCGCATTGTGATTGGCCAACGCGTTGCAAACTCTTGAGGCGTACTATTGTTAATCGGCCGGATTGTTTCATGTTGCAGATGTGGTCGGCAGAATAAAATATGGGTTCGTTTTCTTCGTTGGGAGCCAAAATTATGATCGGTGGGAATTGAGAACCATAGAATTAAAAAGGGGCGCACTTATCTCCGGTTACTGCTTTAGTAGAGATGATGCATGCCACTAATGTGCTTTATACGTCGTTATGATGCGTATGCTGTGGAATGCCAATGCATGTACATGATGGGCATTCGACGGCATATCATAACAAGGTAAAGAAATGTTCAGGTATACTCATCATAACGGTTACGTAAAGAAATGCTCTGGTTTTGTTTGTTTGAAAGTGGCGAAATAGGTTTTTACCATCTATCACAAACTATACGAAACTATGGTATATTGTATTACTATAATAATATGTTTGCTCTTAGTTAAATTTTATCTTTAGGAAGTGACCGAAGAGTGAAAGGAACCATTGAAAAAAATCAAGTTTATCACGGGAAGCTGCCATTGCAAAACATGTGATGAAAATGAGTCTACGATAACTTGATATCAATAAACAAAATTCAGGATATTTTGTAACTTACCCAATCCAGTACCGCTTCCACAGAGGTAGCGTTTGTTCTTTAAGAAAAAGTCGTTGATCCAAATACTGTCCGCATCGTTCCTGATGTTGGCCAGCCTGGCACCCTCAACTGTACAGAAGTGGTCGGCGAACAACCACGATTCGTGTGACGTGCTCCACAACTTGTCCACAGCTATACGCTGCGTATAGCCTGGAGAGCAGTCGGCCTTTACCGAGGCAATGACAACCGCCAGTAATGCGCAAGCAAGCAGCAGTCGGTTCATGGCTGGTTTCAGTTTGGCTCGATGTCGACGAGTGAGAAAACGTCTGAACTTGCGACTTTATATTGAATCATCCTTGATGGGTGAGTGACAAGAAACAGATAATGAGAAGGAGAAGTGGACAGGAAAGAGGGGAAGAGCTCTTATCTTATTAATAAAAGTAACTTTGTCCAAGATCGGTCCTCAAGATCGCTTTCACTCAGAAGAGAAAAATGACGAAAGTTCTTTAGCCATGAAAAAAAGACAGGTTGGGTGTTAATTAATTGACGAATTCATTCAGTAACGTTGAGAAACAGTAGCATTTAGTTGCAAAGAATTTGACAAGGGCTGAAGACAATAAGGATGTGCTTTGATAGAAAGAAAGAAGTAGCAGGAAATTAGGAATTCTTAGTCGTACCGCATGTTTTTCCTTCAATCTGCCTATTGTTCATACGCGCCCTCGGTTCTTCTATCTCCTTAACTTATTCCTTTCTTCATTCACCAACTCCTATGATCCTGCACCCGTCACGATTAGTTAATAAGTTTCTTTGGTTTGTTTCGTTTGTTTTATTCTTTGTTTGCTGGGGCGTTTCTTTGTTTGTCAAACAAACTGGAAGACATTAGCTTTTTTGGAGCATAGCGTCAGGGATTTCGTTCGATATGAAATCAGTTTTGTACAAATTTGACTCTTGTCTTCTTTAATACACGTGGGTTCATAAAATAATACGCGTGTGCCCGGACGATGCACGACACACCATGTTTCAATTGTTCAGCGACGAGCAGAGTTTTTTTTTTTTTTTTTTTTTACAGACTATTAGATTTTAATCACTTCATATAACACAGTTAAAACTCAGAGGAGTTTTGGAAAGAAATATTAATGTAGTCTTTTGCAAGAGGTTCATATTTAGGTTCATGAGTTAGATAATTGTGAATTTCCGGCTTTACTCGGGATGAGGTTAGATATCCTTGGAATTTTATCATTCGTGAAATAGTTACACGAAGTCAATTTGACGGGTATTTGTAAACCGCTGAAGTGATCATCCGGCATCATAAAAACTTATTTTATCCTGTCAGCTGCCTAGTGGATCGTTGATCACACATCATTAAATTATTCGTTCTACGGTACGGTACCATTCAATACAACTACATTTAACTAGACTGGTTCCCACCCCATCCCTTATATCTAAATTCCAGTAAGAAACAGGAAAATAGTGTAGGGGCAGGAACCAGCCTTGCACGGTACTACCAGTGGGTGGTGCTTCGGACACGAATCTGTTTCGCAAAATGGCGGAAGTAATATGCGAGGACCATAGCAGAAGAGGAAATATCGAACTCGTAGGAGAAGCAGCCCCTCCCCCCATTTGACAGATCACATTGACTGCGATAGATTCGGGGAATCTGATAAAAATGTCTTCCTGGGGAATAAGGTCTATTACGCTTACACCATTTTTTTTAAAATTTACAATAAATCGGCAGAAAAACGCAACATTCTTACCTTTTTTGCAGCTTGCTACGTGAATCGCACGCACCACACAATATTCCTTCTCGACCTCGTCCTCTGTACTTACAGTTCCAAGCTGGAGCAAGACATGATGCGATTCTCCTCGCAACGGAGGCTCCTTTGGTGGGGTCTGCACGCTGGCTCACGAATGACCATGAAATGCATGTGTTACCGTCGCATCGCAACCAATAAATTGAAACTCCCCACCAACATGGCTCTTTTTAACAAATGAGGGGGTGCTTCTGCTCTAGGTGGATGCACGATTGGAACGGAGACCAGTAAATAATTCATTTCCACATTGGCTTCCAAAAGAGAGCAGCTACGCGCATAAAGGGGAAGAGGTTACTCCCTATGCCAGTTTCGACCAAACCATGGAGAGATTTGTTGTAACAGAACTTTTTAGCGACCAATAAGCGACATTCTGTCAACTGGTCAAAGTAGCATGGACACTGTCGCCATTGTTTTCGGTGCGTGCTTGTATGCATAGGATTTTGTCACCGTTATCTGTTTCACCCCATAGCTTTACCACCAAATGAAAACCCTACCCTCTTCCCACAAAATTAATCCCACAGTTATTCAACATGAAGTCATCGTTAGAGGTTTCATTCCACTTCACTCCGCCTTGTGGAATGCAAAATTACATCAGTCACTTCATAAAGTATTCTTAGCATTGAAATCATAATCCTGCATTATTGTGTACTATCTCAAAGGAAGAATTAAGCTGAAAATGTTATTCCAAACTAAACAAAATTTGAAATAAATTACAACATAGGGCGTCACTCTAATAATTAAAGCATCTATCAAGATCCGTTATTAGCGTGCGATCTAACTGCCGATACGTGATAGACCCAGGCTTAGCCACCATAAGAGCAGCACGTAGGCTACATGACGCTATGTTAAAGGAATTTGCTGAATTCTTTCATTCCGGATCGTTGCTATGCATTTGGGTATAGTTTAAATCCTTGGCTGGATTGCTTGATTATATTGGATGTATAAGTTATAAGCAATGAGTACTAAGGTGGTATTTCCAGTTTTACCAGTGCACCATTTATCTATTGATTAATGTTTACTGTTACGCGGCTGGTTGGTCCACCCTATTTAGCTATCTAGTGGGCCTATCCTCACTCCATGAGTCAGTTGACATAGAAATTCAAACAGGTTTTACCACAACTGCCAAAATTATTAATAGCAACATCCACGTATAACTGCAGTAAACGTCTTAGACTGCTCGGTTACCATTACAATGGCTTGAAATTTCTCTACAAAGCGCAGAGTTATGCCGAATCAGCAATTTTGGCTTGTAAGTTTTGATTTCCCGTTCTCTTTCTTGTGAAACGTTGTCTGGATTGTTGTTTAGACTGAAAGTAACAATGGGAAATATTCTAAACCCATTTTAATAGTTTTTGTAGTTTACTCAATATTTTATTTATCCCAGATCAATGAAAAACATGCTGCTTGAAAACCAAGTGGATTATACACTTCAAGACAATACTTCCTAGAGTTCGCTCCAGCGTCTTTTTTATGAAAAAATGTTTTCGCCTGTAGCTTGATGCTAGTCTTTGATCAATCCGTCCCATGAATACATTCTTTACACTGGTACAAGCTCAACTCCATGCTTCACTGCCTTGAGGAGACGTGGGTAGTCTGGCGCAAGAAGGAGTCCTAACCTCTTCATGTGATTGAGTTTTTTTTTATAAGTGCTGGGTTTGTCAGGACTACCGACGATATGTTGTATCGTCTAGGATTGTGTGCTTGCTCCAGGGTGGCGAAGCTACGGGAGGCCTGGGGGACATGTGCCCGTCCCCCCCCCCACACACACAAATTCCCAGTGGCCCCCCCAAGAAAAATGGATGAATGGATACTAACAAGGCTAACAAAACCTGCCCCCAATAAACACACCACTGAAAGCTGGTGCCCTCATAAGATGCTGGTACCCCGCTGAGCCCCCCCCACCAGTAAAATCCTAGCTAAGCAACTTGCTTGCTGTGAGCCTGTCCGGCATATTCTTCTCGGCCCTGCTCAGTTACGCTTTCCTTCATCCATCCAGCGCCCTGCTTTACACTTCTGGCTCTTGAAAACGCTTCAAGCTGTCCTGCCTCAAAGCTAAGACGAATTAGGTCACGCAAGGTCAGGCAAGTCCTATCCGGGAGCTCTTGGTGGTGCTGCCGTTGCTGCTCACTCTGCAGCTGAGCTTCACGATCTTTGAAACTCGGCTCGCCACTACTCGCTTGTATCTATGGCACAGCTCCTACTACGGTCAGCAAGTTCTCTTACCTTTTTAATTGGCCGTAGGTCAACAGCACCAATTCCTTGGATGCTGAGCTTGATTCTTGCATAGTCAAGGCTGCAACCACCTCTCAACATCTCCGTGTAGGGCAACTGGACGCTTTCGACCACGCTCAAGATCTCCATCTCTATGGGTCCTGAGTGTTAAGCATGGTGCTTTCTGGGAGAATCGACCAAATGCCTTTCACTTTTGTCAATCCTTGACTATGGTCGTTGACGCTCTGCCGTCCTTGTAGGTCAAGCCACTTCAATTGAAGTTTACATTGTCGACTGCAAAAATTATCAGGCGACCAGACGCCGAGTTCCATCGTAGTAAATACGAGCACACAGGTCACTACCCTTATGAATGGATTTAGTGGTCTTCAATGAAGCCTGGAAATTACAAGTGCCGCTGCTAATGTGCAGGCACGGCTTAAGAAGCTTAAATTAAAGAACAACCTATTAAGAAAGTAACCGTACAGCGATCATTGTGCCGATTCCAAATAAGAAAAAAAGATTATTCATAAAAGCCTACAAGACACGGGGGAAAAGGGCATACAAACGAAATGATTTGCTACAGACTAAACCTAATTCCATCAGGAAATTGATGCAAATGTTGACCTATGACAGACTCCACTCCAACATTTTCGCCTTGATTTATAGCAGCGGAATATTACCAATCTTTAAAAACATTCCGCTTTACGAATTGAAATTAGTGTCGGATAGGACACCCTTCTTCTCCCAGTCGTGGGAACGCCTTCCAATAGATGTGAATAGCAATATTTTTTAGGAATTAGAACAGTTTTCCAAACCTAATAATTAGAAATTTTCCACAGAAAATAAAGCTGTTGCATTCATAATGACCAATATCATATCCATTGGAGATAATAAAAAGAAAATTAATTTCAGGTTATGTATCGTGACAAAGACTGCCATTCACGGCAAGTGTTTTTGGACAGATTTCTTATTATTAAATGCTCAAACGCCCGATAACAAGGTTTTATCTTTTCCATGCATCATTTTCATACTAAGTAAAAGAGAGATTAACATCCGCGCTCTTTCCTTTTTTTAACTGTGAAAGACAATTTTCCAATCATAACTAAAAATTTTTAGCTCGATCGAGCAGTAGCTTCCTTGTCATTACTTTATACACGTGCTGGCCTCGCGTCGTTTGTCACGTCGTGTTTTCGCTTGTCACGTCGTACTTTCCATCGTACATATTTTCTGCCTATGTTCCCGGCTTGAAATTTTGGACTTTATTTGCCTTTGGAAATCGTCCAGAGCCAGAGATACAAAAAGTCTCAAATAAAAGTAAGATCCGACTCAAAAGAGCATCTTTCAAAAAAGACAGGTCTTTTGAAATCAAAAACATTACGTAGAGGGTCGAAGCCTTTGTTCAAATGTAATAAATGAAATGGAATACCTCTGGATTCACCATCATCCCAGAACAGATTCCCACGGGCCTTCAGGTCATCATCTAGGGCTATCATCAGACCCATTGGCTTCTTCCGACTGGAAAAAAGGTCATATGATTTTCAGAACAATAAATACAAAATCCAGCAGTCAATAAGATTTGTTTCAACTTTATATATAATCCCATGAAGTTACCACGTTTCTATATAATCTGGGCGATTTGGGCCGCCATTGTCCAACCACAGTTGCAAACTGAGTTTTTTGACGAATCAGCCGGTAGGTTGGTCAATCTGTCGAAAAGCCATCAATCGATCATTTGTTTCCCTCAGACTTTTCATTCGAGTTGGCCTTATCCTAACTTGAGGCTCTGGTACACTCATTTGTTGGCAAAAGCACTGACCTGTTGACTGTGTTATTAGCTGGTTCCTGGAAGGGTAGCACATAGCCACCTCTGATGTGTAGGTTGATGGTGTACAGATCCGCTGGCAGGGTGGTGGTCTTGCCACGCAAATTGGAATCAACTTCCCGTCCCTTGTAACAATTAAGGTATACAAAAGACAACGGTAAACAATGACACGATACTTGATATTCGTATACTGTTCACCGTCAGGTGCTGTTCACACTTATGCAGACATTCGCATCTGTCAGTCAAAGACCTACAATTCTGAAGCTTTGATCAAGGTATTGGACTTGTTTTTGTTGTTCATACGGTCGGCCCACTGATGAAAAAACGCAAACACTTCATATCAGTGCCTGTTTTACTTTTCCAAAATAATTGGGTTCCCGGCGGACCGGTCTTAAAACAGACATGTACACCCATTCAGGTAATGCCGTCGATATTTACCCCATGACGCAATAAGCTTTTGCGAGTTAAATTTGAATAACATCTGGTACACTGAGTTCCTTAAATTGACGTGAACATAACAACTGGCATTCTCCATACTAAAGCCACTGTTGCTATACCTCGTGATTCGGGGCAAACTTTTCCTAAGTTACATAAGAGACGCCTTGCAACAATACACTGTTCTCAATGGAAAAGAAGGGCACAGAGGAACCAGTCCATTCCAGAGATGGTGGTCGCTAAGCAAAAGCTTGCCCAGAATCACGAGGTATACCAACAGTGTATTTAGTCTGAGGAATTCAAGTTGTTATGTTTTTGTACAATCAGATAACTCAGTGTACCAGATTTTATTCCGCAAGTTTAGCTCGCAAATGTCTTATTGCGTTATGTTGTGAATATCCACGGCATTACCTGAATGGGTGTACATGTCTGTTTTAAGACCGGTCCGCCGGTAACCCAAGTATTTTGGACTCGACAGGCCATGGATGACTGGTGCATGACACACACGTGTGTGTTCGTGGCAGTTGGATGCTTCGACGTGCGCACGATTTGCCGTGAATGAGGCGCCTTTCCGGCGCCTCCAAGAATTTGCAACGCATTAGCCGATCACAATGTGCGAAATCTGTCGACCCTTTTCAAACGTGCACTGGGTCGACAGATTTCGTGCAGTGTGATTGGCCATTGCGTTGCAAATTCTTGGAGGCGCACTTTTGTGAAACGCCCATATTAGGCCTATGTATGTTTTTGGGGTATGCTGCGTACATGATGCAGACAGGCGTTTTACTTTTACGGACAAAAAAAACCGACCCATTAACATAACACGCGTGTGCGCTGCGTTCGCCGCGCTTTCAAAATCGCCCCAGGAGCAATTTTGACGGATGCGCAACGCTTTGCCTAAGTTTTGACGGGCATATGGAAAGGCGCCTTGATCATACGAGCGATATGTATGGGCTGGCGGTTTACACTTGTTTGCCATGGTTTGCGTGCGTGTACGACCAATTCTTTCTGCAGAGACTGTGTGGATCCAGAAACAAACTCATAACGGCCAAAAATCAGATTTTGTTTTCATGTGAACTGTTGTGGTCATTCTGAGGGGTGGGCCACCTTTGGGGGCTTTTTACACGCTTGGAGCAGGAAGGGAATTCAAATAGACCAAAAAAAAAAATCACCTTTCATTACTTTTCAAACACATCGTCACCATTTTCCCCCAGGAATGGGCGTGTCAAAATGGCATTTTCCCATTTCCTTTTTTCACTAATCTACCAGGCTTTTTATACTTAACCATTTTGACGAGCTTCCATGAGCAGAACACCATTAATGTAAAAGTCCCTTAATGATGCCAGGAGCAGACCACTCAAAAACTGCATTTTGCGTTATCACGAAGGAAAAAAAAGATACAAAACATTTTGCCTAGAAAGGTACAAAAATTTATAAAGATATGAAAAGTTCAACCAAGACGTCACGAAAACTTTTCAGTGAAACTTTGCTGAGATGAAATGTGTTCGATTTTTCCTGTTTTGCGAATTTGCAGCGCGAATATTCGATCCGACGTCACTAGCCCTCGTTTGTGTTGGCTTTCTGGCGAAGTACGAACCGGTTTTAAGTGTACAAACACATGAATTTTCGTTTTCAAGAAGGGGTGGGCATCTTTAATAATTAATTTCGGCTAATTAACTGCAATGTTCATCCTGATTGCTAGGTTCACACAAAGTTTATCTTTCAAAGAATCATGGGAAGGAGTCCTCACCGCACAGAGTTATTGCAAAGTACATGTAGAAGTATTTTGCAGTTTTTAAAAAGGGGGAAATTTCCATCGTAATTTTACAAAAACGTTTTTTCTTCCAAATGCCTGTTACTTCGTGAATACGTTGACTACATATCAAGTAGGACAAATATTAAAAAATAGGTCACTGACATCATACTTATTTTTAAATCTGCGCGAAAGTCAACGCAGACCATGATGCAGACCTATAATGTAATGTAACACCATGACCCATGCTGCTTCTCGAATTCCTAATCCTAGCGACGTCACAAAGTCGCCTTTTTGTTCTTTTTCTTTGACCCTTTGACCTGTGTAAATACAATACAAATTGCAATAACTTACGTCATAATAGTTAAACCATCTGGCATTTGGGATGTACGCCTCAACGGTTGTCATACCCTGAAACAACATATCGAACACAGAGAAATTTGTGTGGATAAGAAGACATGAAATTCGTTGTAGTTTCTATCAGGATATTTCAACGCTGGAAGGAGACCATACATAAATCCTTATTAGGCCTACATAAATCAGGACACTACCCACCTCATCTAGTACTGGTGTAATGAGGAACGACGGGCCCCACAGGAACTGCCGGTCAATGTTCATTCCACGAGTTTCTGGAAACCTTGTTGCCAAAAAATGTAAATAAATTTATAACATACTTCAGGTGTATACAAGCGTGAAGGAACGATAACCTATAGAGTTTGGAGAACACAAACAACAACAGTGGAATTAAGTGGTCAAAATGTCGGCGTACAACTACATTTGCCCGAGAAATTTTGTTGCGGGCGGGAATAACTTTTAGAATGGCAAGTACCACTGAAGGGCGCCGCCTCCTCCAAATGGCTGAAAGGGAATCTGTGATATTTTAATTCACATATAGAATTTTACACTTTTTCGACGTAATCTATTAAGTATATGCGGGAGAAAATAAGCAAGCTTTAGATAAGACAAGAGCCCACAACTTCCTGGTCTTCAGTGGAAGAGCTTAACCACCCAAATGCAAGGGCTGCTGAGGTCTATGGTTTGGCATGGCATACCGTCGTGTGATATAATGCATTGTAACTGAAGGTGACGGAAAAATGATAGTAAGGCCTCATACGAAATAGGCATCCGCTCATATGAAGTATGCAGACACAACACGAGGGCGCTATTTGGTTAGGGTAAAATCTTTCGTGTTAGTTCAAAACTTGCCCACTTCAAAGAGCTCCCTGCTATTAACGTGTCCGCCACAGTTCCAATGAACTAACTGGTGTCTACAGCTACAACTATCCACCAAAAGAAACCGCAGCCATTGCCAGAAAATACCCACTTAGGGTAAGATCTCACATACTCGTGCAATACAGGTCTTGCTACCGTGGCCCCATTCGTGTTCGCCTCGTAGAACAGCGTGTAGAGGAATGGAAGCAACTTGTAACGTATCCCCAGCACCATTTTTACGTTAGCCGTGAATTCCTCGTCGAACGATGTGGGCTGTTGCGGCTGGAGAGAGAACATGTTTCATGTTTGATGGAAATCGCTGGATTGGTGTAAATGAGAAAAACTGAGGGTTGAAAGTACAGGGCTGCTAGGCTTCTTCTGTAAGTCTTTGCTACATTTGGCTTAAACACCCATACATCTGTGGAAGCCGCTGGCTAAGACCGCCTAACATGCCTAATGCACCATTTCCAAGTGTGCATGCATGATTGCAAGCATTATAGATAAATGTTTATCGCATAGATAAATCTTTATCGAAAATCAGTCTGGAGGAACCTAAAAAAAATGGAAGGGAATGGGGACAGACTTTGAGATGCTCGACAGTAAACATACCAGTCTTTTTTCAAACAATATTGCGCGTTATGTTTGCCGTCTACCATTAAATGAACAAAGATTATCCATGATTAAATAATAGAGTCGTGAAAGAGCGGGACATTTAGAAGTGAAAGGCAACAGCGAGACGATTCATAGCTGCATTTTGACTAAGTTAAAAGATACTGTGTGATTATTTTTCTTTGGGAATATGAGTGGATCAACAGATGGCACCTGAACAAGGAGACAGCATTTTATGAGCGAATTTCAATATAAGAAATGAATGAAGAGCCAGTGATATGTCGAACACCTGGTTTAATAAGCTCGATGCGAGTCTGCATGTGCCAATTCTGCCACAGCCCTGTGGTCGTCATGCAAGTCCATCATGGACAACAGTCTTGTCAGTTTATTTGTGACTCCTCGTGGCTGAATAAATCTAAAATAGAACACCAAACAACGAGGCATGTCCTTATTGATAAACTTACCCTGTAGTCCTTTGCATTGTGGTTACGAGAGAAAGGATAAAAGGCACCGACTTGGCTCCATCGGAGGCACAGCTCACGGGTGGTGTTGAACAGAAAACCACATATATCAGCACCAGTCTGTCGAAACAAGTGTTCATTTTAGAGACAACAAAATTGTCCTTGTCGACGCAAGAAAGGATATTAATTTTAGAGAAAAGTGTTTATGTGTTATTTTTAGATTGTCATATTAGATTAATTGCAAAAGATAAACTAACTTTGTCCTTCCACTGCCTATTCGGAATTTGGAAATGTACACGTGTAAGCCATAGTTCGTAGCCTTTTGGTACCACACTGATGTGTGCACCGTGGACATCCCCGTTGAAAGTTATTCTACATGTTTAGTGACGCAACAAGCCCAAACTGGCTTTATACATTGTATTGTAGTTTGTGTGGTGCTTAAGCATGTGATAAACATCCACTGCCTTGCCGGTAGATTTGTAATCTCTGATCAGATTCTTTAAATGTGCACTTACGTAGCCAAAACCGAAGAGACTGAACTCTAGCATATCTGCAAACAAAAGAAAATAAAGGAATATAACACCATTTAGCTTAAACGCCAACATGCTTGCCAATGATTCGATTTTCCATATTGTAATGAGCCACCCAAAACTTTGTAAAACACGCTTCGAGTGAAGTGTTACATTGACAAACTGGGTCCAAAAGTCACGTCTAAGTGATGTCTCTGCCGCTTCTGCAAAATCGTTCTCATATACCAAAAGGTTAAATTTAAACTTTTCAGGTTGTGTTAAAAAGTCCATGACATCCACCTCTAACCAAGATTTTGAAGTACCAAAACAATACAGTAATACGAATACGTTGAGACAAAAAGAGAAGAGAGTAGGCCAACACCTGGTCTTTTAAATCATTACACATACAAACTGTGCGCCGAAGATAAATACGTAATACTACCAACGCAACTGGTGGGAAGGAGTAGGACCTTTTTTATCAGTCACCTTTGCACAGACTCGCTCTCTTTGGGCAACGTCTCTCTCTAGAAATATTTAACTTCACTCTGAAAAGTGTCTTTAGAATGCTACAAAAGCCCTCATTCGGAGCACCCCACTCCCATTCTTGTAAAAAAAAACCCAGATCCTTTCGAGATCCTTAGTTGTCAAGTAGAGATTGGCCAAAGCGACCACGCACCCCATTGTTGCTGTTAAACTGTCCCACGAACGATAGAGGTTCAAATTACCAACCAATGAGGCAATACTTCGGACTGATTACGAATAACGCTCACCGGGAATACTCCAAGGCAACTGCCGCCACAAGCTTTGGTTGTCCCCCAGCCAGTGACCGGTATACGCCCCACTACTCACGTACGTCGATCGAGAAAGAACCATACTACGCTTGTTTGGGAAAACGGTCTGTAGAGCTCTAGAAGTCGATAAGTGTTCAAAACGATCATTTCATTTGGAAATTTATCAAAGATTGTCATTCAACACAGGTTTACAATGAGTTGAGAACAATTAAGGCACTGCGCGTGCCAAAAACAATCTAATTTCCTCTTCAACACTTAAGAACTTGAAGAAACGCCGTACCGTACCAAAGGAAACGGAACCCGTCCTTGTCTTAGAACCCATTCCCATTATATAAAAGGGCTGGAACGGTCAGCCTGTCTTCGTCTTATGAAACACTCCCCAGCTCAGAAGATTTCTTGTAATGTTTGTGTCACTACTTTTCAGCAAAATTACGTCTGACGTACTGGAACGTAGCCTGTGACATGCTATGACCATACAGGCTGTGCACGTTGTAATGCTGACCCCAACTTTGTTCTGAATCCATGCAGAGTGTTTCAGTGATAAGGCCCAGACGGTTATCTGAAGTTCGTCCATGAATGTCTGAAAAAGGAAGGAATGAAGTATGAATAAGTTATTTAGTGTGCCAATGTTAGCATTCATCTTAATCTTCAGACATTTTGTAAACCAACCTAAATGGGGCCCCTCATATCTCGGTAATGAAATGAATCTTCAAATTGTGATCAATTCAAATTAGCTTCCGCTAAGCGGTAATTCTTTTTATGGACGGCAAAGGAAACATTTGAAATCTAAGGTTTGTCTCCGTCAAAAACCTTACATGCATCGCAACTGCTGCATGTCAAAGGTTATGACCTACTGTCGAACGCGAGCTAGACTTATGAAGCCCTAACGTGATGTGTTGTGAATTAAGATGTGCGTTGCGTTCCAACCAATTCATGTCAAAAAGAAGTACCGCACAACTCTGAGTTGCGGAACAGGGTTTGAAAACAAGCAATAGTTAAAACAGCTTAAACTTGGAGACCTAGACTTGATACTCATATTTACCTGGCACATACGGCGGACTATTAAGTTTATTTTCCTCACAGCCAGTTTTAGAGCCGTTGACCATATTAGAAGGCTCATTCATGTCCTTTAAAAAAAGAAAAATAATCAAACAAGATTCAGCTAGGTTTGTGGGGGTTTCCCATAAATCTCACGATTTAGTGCATCTGGCTTATTCATTTTTAGAGCTACCACAAACGTTCATTCAAATATGTTGCAATGAAAGGTTGTGACAAGTCAGCCCGAAAAAGTTCACTCGATTTAGTGAAAGAAAAAACAACTGTGTTTAAACCACACATGAGAAAAATCACAGCGACATTCGGATGCGAAATCTTATCAACAGTTTGATATTATCTAATGATTTGAAGACGCATGCCACACTATGACCTGCGGATGTTTCTCGTTTACCCTTCAACCGAAAACGCACAAAGGAGTGCTTAACAAGACAGAGAGGATTGTTGATAAAATTTCACTGCATTGGCACACGGGATTTCTCAAACAAGTCTGTACAGGCCTACTGTCAAGCAAAGTGTGATAGAGGGGGTGAGAGCTCAACGTAAGCTATAAAGTTTTTATGAAACGGCTGAATAAATCCGTCTCATCTTATTAGTGGTTCATTGATCACGTGCCACCGCGATGCAAAATAGAACGTTGTAATCGGAAGGCATTGATCGAGAACACTAACAATCACGGCGCACTTGGCGTTTCATGAATAGCGTGCGCACTTTTTAATGGTTAAACAGGCGAGTCGCCCTCAGTGCCAAGTGACGAGGCCATTTTGGTTGTTCTCTAACGGTGCTTTCCGTTCTAATCCACTCTGCGATGTAAATAGAATGTTTTACATAATAGGCCTATACCTGCACAATCCCAGTCATCTGATTTGTGGATCGTTGATCACGTGTCATTGAATTATTCGCTCTATACGGTACTTGACTGGTTCCTGCCCCCATTTCGTATATCTCGTTCGCAACAAGAAAGAGGAAAATAATGTAGGGACGGGAATCAGTCTAACATAACACGAAACTACCAGTGGGTAGTGGCGTAGCTAGGATTTTTGCTAGTGGGGGGGGGCACACAGGCGGTAACAGCATCGTATGGGGGGCACCAGCTTTCGGTGGTGTGTTTTTTGGGGGCATGCTTTTGTTAGCCTTGTTCAATATCCATTCATCCGTTTTTTTTATTGGGGAGGGGCACCTGGAGGACACCGGAAATTTGTTGGGGGCACGTGCCCCCCCTTCCGGCTACGCCCCTGTCAGTGGGTAGCGCTTCATCAGGGCCGTTGAATTGTTCTCCTATAACAGGAGAGGATTTATGCAGTATATGTATAAAGCAAATAATGAATGTTTCACATTTGCACAAAGGTAATAATAATTTCTTTGCCTCGTGGAATCGAACATTTCATCTGTCACATCATTTGTCACGTCTTAACATTATTCTTGTCACTGCACGAATGTGAAACGTTTCTGCCCTATTATCCAAGCACAAACTAAACTTACATTATATAAAACAAATACCGGTAATGAATTGAATTGAATTGGACGGAGTAATTTCATTCAGACTGAATGTTGATGGCATATGACCTGACGGAAATTTATATCCCGAGATTCGTTTTGCTAACTTACAATCCACAGGGCATCATAAGCAATCTTGTCGTGGAAGTCATCGCAAAGTGCAGTCCACCAAGCGGCTGTGTCAGACTTGGTGAAGTCTGGAAACACACTAGCGTTAACTCTGGGCCACATCTGGGTAAGGAATTAATGGTGATTAATACCAGATATTAAATGTATATGCATGTAAAGCATGCTCACTGTTGTAGCTTACGAACCAGATGCATGCAATAACCCCATCAACAGTTCTGTACAGTGCTATATAAACTACAATTCATAAAATGTTACCATTCCATGGAGTATCTCGTCGTCTTTTGTTTTGACGAAGACGTCCTGCTCAATTCCTTTGTCGTAAGGCTCATAGCCGTCTTCAACGCCAATGGCATGGTCCTGTGCATAAGCAAGCATTATTTTTAAGATTTGAGGGCATACATTCAGGGGACATGGGATATAATATGCCTCACTTTTTGCCCTGGGGTTGAGCTATTTGATATTCCATTTTTTTTGGTAGTATTAAATATAAATTGGGGATTTTCTTATTTCTGAACTTTCTATCATCAGCCAAAAATGAAACAATTAACCATATCAAAACAATAAGAAGTTGAGAACCTCAACTTTATGGAAGGTTAAGGCGTGTAAGTACGCATTAATATATGATAAACATCTTTAGCATGAACAGTGCCCCCCAATGAGTAGTGTTGTGATTTTGGCAATTTTGGTTGGCACAAGTTTACGCCATTGTGGAGGTGTTTAAAGGAAGATCAGTGGCAAAGTATAACCAAGCATTTATGAACAATGTTCATTCATGAACAAGAGTTCCCGCCCTTAATGCATGCAAACCGAGCCCCCCCTTTCACTCGTTACTGTTTTCCTAATGTCAACCACAACTTCCAAATACCAATGTCCGAATCGTCTAGTCAGGAAACCAGACGGCGGCTGTCGCCGGAAGAAAACTTTGAGAAATGACAAATGGTTCCAAGAGACCAAAGACAGACCCAAGACAAATAAATTGCTGCCTACAATCACCCCCCTTCCCCCTACATGGGTAATGTTGAGTGGATAATTTTGCTAATGTCTAAGTAAAAAGCGTAGACGATTAGAGTAGCAGGATTCATCAAGAATAGTTAAGGAGAATGAGATGAAATGAGATGAGAAGTATGAAAATGTTTTTATGCATAGTACACGCCTAAGCCTTGCTGGAGGAAACGGGAAAAATTTCCATTTCACGGTCACAAATTCCCATTTTCCCAAACTCCTACAATTCACAAAAATTCAAACTGCAAATGCAAACTTTTCTCGTTTCATTTTGCTATGCATAAAAAGGTGTCGAATGCCAGAAACAATGCGTAGATGAAACGCAACCCATTGCAGTGATACCATGCCAAAGAAAATAACTGCAAGGTTATCAAACTTTAAAGAAATTAATTTCAGTAAACGAACTCACCAATATGATGATATACCGCATTCCGTAGTCATGGAGATAGTCCACAAAATTGGAAAGATTTTGCATTCCATAACTTGTTTCGTTCACAGTGAAGTCCATAAATCGGTCCATGTAATCGATGTCGCCATAAACCACATCCTATACATTAATGATTGAGGTATATTAAATCATAATTACTTCGAATTCATGAAGCAAAGTAGCAACCATAAAGAAAATGGGGATTTAGTTTGCATATAAGTAAAGCATAAAATATTGTTGCACAAAAAACAGTCTGAAAATTTGAATTTTTGCACTAACTTCAGAACTGTAGACTTCGCTATGAGTACTTTTCATTTGTATACAGAAGGTACATCGTTTATCCCAACATGAAAACAAATGTTGTTCCTTCAGGCATTTGAAATGCCGAACTGGTTTATTAGAAACACAGAAATGGAGTGAGCTGTAGTTCCATACAATCAAACGAAATGAGTGAAATTACCAATGGCATCTCTGCATCAGTCATCTCCTTAACAACTTCTTTTACTCGGTCCAGGGAGTTATAGTTCCATCGACTGAGCTGGAACCCCAAGGCCCAGTAAGGTGGCATTACCGGCCGGCCGATTGCCTTCGAAAGCAGTGAATAGAAAACACTGATCAGCTCCACACAGACCCGGATCATCGACAGTAAGACAGCTGCTACGGCAATGACTTAGACAAGCAATGTTAGTTTTATTTTTGAAGATGTTTTTATCAACACTTATGGATCAATGATTTGTAAAGGCGTGCGCCCGATACAGTTTCAATGGAAGGCCTAAATGCACTTTCGCACATGATGTTTGTGAGCTTTACCATACCGGTGGAAAACAGTTTTCCAACCAAACAGTATCCGCCTGGAGTAGAAGCACCCCCTCATCGGTTGAAAGGAGCCATGTTTGTCAGGAGAGTTCACTGGTTCACAAACTATGAAATGCAAGCAACTATGAAATACCCGCGTTACGGTCGCGTCCTTATCAGCAAAATTGCTTGTAGCAACGCGACCGTAACGCGTGCATTTCATAGTTGTTTGTGAACCAGTGAAGTGCAGCTCTGATCAAAGGAGCCCCAATTGGTTTGAAAATTGTGTGCTTTCTTGGTCCAGCTCTGGACTCATGGGGTCTACAAGTTAATTTGCTATTCCTTTTACAAATTTGCATTTGATACAGAAGTTAGGTGCAAGAGGAGAGTACTTTGTGTTCCTGCAGCGTGTTCCCATTATCTCTGGAACTCTTCAAATATCAAGTGTTTTTTTCGTCGCTACCTATATCATACTGAGGCGCAAAAGGACAGGGGACGTTAACTCTGCCACAAACTTAGTGTACACAAGTTGATAAAAATGCAATGTACCTCTGTGTACTGCGAGACCACATTCTCAGGTGTTGGTCCAAAAAATATATAAAAATCGAGGACACCGCCGACGGTGCGATATGTAAGACCCGGGGTTGGCTGAAGGATGATCTCTGAAAAATAAACAAGCAAACAAACAAAATGCCTCACAGTTTATTTGAAATATTTTAAAAATGAACTAGAAAAAAAATTGAACCAAGAATTTACTAACTAAAAACATTTCTGACAGAGGGATTGATGCTTTCTTATTGCTATGCGTATAAACAACATTAAATCAGCAAAGAAGAGAATTTTCACAACCGGAGAAACTCTTTTGTGTACAAACTGATGTAACATTGAATTATTTTCCTGAGATGACATCATAGCTTGCTCGTTGCATTACGCGCAACGCACTTACGTTGCCTGTATTTGTTTACATGTGGCTTTTCGGAATTGCTATCTCTTCCTTTGAAATGCTGCAGCCACAATGTTTTGAATCCCTATCAGCCACATATAGTAAAATAGAGGATTTTTTTTCACTATACAAAAATTGCATCAGAGAACTCTATGGCTGGAATTCTTCAATTGTGCGTAAATTCCCTATACCAAGAGGTGAATTTGTCCACAGTTTTGATTTTATTTGGGCGCCGCACAGATCACAAAAAACCCCTGTAGTTTTGAAAAGGTCGCTCTTCGATCTATGCGTTTTTTCTGTGCTTTCCAATGTTGCACTCACAACCTAACGCCACTCCAAAAAAGAACTAGGCCAAAATTCGGCAGACCTTGGCCTCGGTGAGCACTTTTCCAAATTTTCTAATAATTTTTCTTCCTTTAAAATGCTACGCAGCATTCTTTTTGTTTTTACTGATTATGCTCGCTCTTCGGGCCAAACCCATTCTCTGGGCGAGAAGATGGAAAATATGTCTTATCCTGATTCTTACCCATTGCATTGCTGTTCAGAAAGAGTATGCCGTGAGCATTGTTTCCACGTTCCTCGACGCACATATGGAAGGGATGGTGACCATACAGATTCCATTCGTCCTTTTGAAGAAAAACAAACACATTAATCTGAAATCAATGCAATTTTCTGGGAAGGTTGCTTAAAAATGAAACTATAAATCCTAAAAAGAACTACGTATTATGCAAATTGTCGTGGCAGGTTCCATGCACCCTTCCCCAGACCATAAAAGGAACCGTGAAAAGCCATGCCCTCAAAAACAAGACTATCCGTCCTTGTCCCCAGGTGAGCCACAAATCACTCTATTTTCCCAAAGCGTTAAACAGATTGCTCCATGGCTCATCTCGAAAGGCTTTATTTTCTCTATCACTCGAGGCAGCAATATCCGCATGCTATACTCACAATAGGCAACACATCCCTTGTAAACATTGTCCAGCTCTTGTAGTTCATATCATGCAAGAAACGCCTATGAGCGTGTTCACCAAAGCCGTACACATATCGAGATGGGAGCTTAGTCGATATCTGAAGGAACTGATCCTCGAATGTAAAGCCACCCACTGACGAATCAAAACTAGAAAAGATGATTTTCAGGGAGCAAAACTAATTTGGGTGGCGGACGCATAACATGGTCTCTAGAGATCAGAGGTAGACAAAACAATAGTCCAAAGAATGCACAATTATTTGTAAAGACCCACAAATGTGCTGATTAGTATGATATGAAAAGGACACTTTTGGAAATGTAACCACGTTTGCGTGATATGTTGTGCAGCCTTTGACATTCATGTTATAGCACAATTGAATATGAAAATTATTTGAAGTTTATTTGATTTACACATGCGCGATTAGGACAACGGATTGACGCACCTAAATTTGTTGCAGTCACAGTTGGAGCTGACTTGGCCGGCAATGATCGTTGTGAACTGATGCAATGCTGTCAAAAGCTTAGTCAAGTCGTTTTATAACTGTACACAATATCACAAAAGTTTGATTTCCTTACACTGTCACTCCCGTGCTCGTCCGTTTCACTTGGATACTGAACGGGTGCTGCTTGTAGCTGACCTCATACATGGGGTTAGACGGCTTCTTGGTCGGTTTGGCGATGTTGACTGCTTCGCTTGGAACTTCGTATCGGGCCTTCTCTGCGTCTGTTATCTAAAGAGAAAAAAGAAAACGGAGTATGAAAGATATTGGGACACAAAACACATACACTACAAACTAACAAAAAATACAACCATGAAGGATAAAATGCCTATCAAGATAGACTCTCTGAAAACAGGGATGGTGTGTATCATAGCGGTCAAGCAGATTTGCAAGGTTTTTCCAACCGAAAATGAAACTTTCTTTTCTGAGAAAAAAAAGGAATTATAAAGGAGAAAGACACCCACAAACACAACTTGAATTTAATGACAATGACAAATATTTTAAGTATTTTGGACACCCTGTTAACCAGATTAGTGTCTCCTGTTAAATGTCGGGTGGTTTGTTAAACAACGTTTAAACTTTTGGTTATTCTTTGCCCGATAACTTCAGCTGAGCATAAAGACCTCCCTCTGTAACATCCCCAAATGGGGCACCAATAGAATGTTGAAATGTTAATCTCCAAAATGCATATATGTCTCTCAGTTATTTCATGTACAACGCTTGTTTCATTTTCAGTGGGTATAGATTTTATGCTGAGTATTTCTATATTTATGGGAAAACCATGATGTCATTCAAGGAAGAAAAACCTCAGTATTTTATCGGTTTATGCACAAGATTTAAAAGGTTTTGTTGGCCTTAATTTTAGCCTTAATTTTCTTTTATTTAGGGATTCATTATTGTGTGAGCACACATCTGTTAGCAAGCGACCCTTTCTCAGTTTTCAGTGAGTAAATTCCAGGTTCACAATTTTGAACAGAAAAACCTATGCGCTAAACCATGTACTCCACTGATGACACTGAGACAGAATTCAGACTTTTGAATCAAAACGGCTGCTCATTATGTGTGCAGCGTCCATGTCCACTGACGCATGATCCACCATGGTTCCAACAGTTTACACACTCATGTTGCTACTCTGTCTATTTATGACACCAAAGAAACAGCGTCCTCGTCTGTGAAGGAAAGCATGGGAAAATTTATGTGCTTAAAAACCATAATGCTATTTTGAATATTTTTGATAATAATACTAAAAGTAATTATTAACAAAGATCTCCATGCCACAGACATCACAAAGCGGTGTAGAATGAAAATCCACAGGTTGTTAAATATACAGACAAAAAACAGTAATGAAACGACACCAAATGAAATTCAAATTAACTATTGAGTGATAATTAATGATTAAAAGATTAATCTTTCACATGGTTTTGAAAATCTCAAAAAATCAGTTCATCGAATTGCTGTTTGTAGCCTATTCTATAGAGGGCGGGCATCTGTTGTGAAAGACCGATCTCCATTGTATTTGGTATTACCAATGGCTACTGTAAACAAACTACACCAGAGGTTGTCGAGTGCTATGTGCTATGAAGATGATTTAAACAGTTTTCATACATTAAAAAAGTTTTTTACATTGAAAAAGAGGGTAAAGTCGCAGAAATTTGAATCCACGAAAATTCATCGCAGATCTTCAAGAAGAGACAGTGATACCACTGCAGGGGGGAGGTTCATCTAGTCTGCCGCAAAAGGCATGGCCTATAAGAAAGCCTGTCCTTACCTTAAGGCGCAGGCGATAGTCCGTCTGGAACTCCACTTCAAGTTTCAGGTTGTCGATATCAGTACCATAACGGCTAGGTATGCCCTCTAGCCGGATAAGCCTAGCCTCCCAGCCTAGGTTAGTCTCCGTAGGTGGGCTAGTCATCTGATAGCCGTAGGTCAGCGGATAGAAGCAAACAGGAGCCTTGGCATTTGTAGCTGGCTTCCAGAAACAACCACGGGCCTCGCAGAGCTCTTTAGTGGCAGTAGTGTTCAGATCAGGGAAGCAGTCGAATCTTTTAAAATTGCGACAATTCAGGTACTGAAATAAACACTAGTCTGATCTGGTTAACTAGAAAGACAATTTTTGCCTTTTGTTGTATGTAAAATATTGCTGAACAATTCACACACAAAAATATGAATTTCTTTCAACTTTCTAGACACGAAATAATACAGTATTCCTGCTTTTTATAGATACCTCCACTTTTAACACTGTAAAGCTGATTCCTTTGATCCATTTATTTGCAATTTTCCCCTCTTGGTTCAATGTTGATCTACTTTTAACAAAGTCGGAGGATGTGAAAATATTTAAAATCGTTTAAAGGAAGAGTATTTCTAACATTGACTTTATATGTGAAAAATGCATAAAAAGCCACATACATTTATCAATGAATTATAGAATTAATATTTTCAAATACTTTAAAAAGAATAATTATGTATACCTTTGTTGCATCCAAGCTGCCATTGTCTCAGCACTTCTTTTACTGATTGTGACAAGAGCCACCTATATGTAGACCCTGATCTGCGTTGCCCTAAGTCAGTGCCTGATTTGGCTCATTTGTTTTAAAAACGATAGCTCCTGTGCTATGTACCCCTCTGCACTAATCCTGTCTAAATTAACGTTCGTATTTCCTGCCAAACGAAATCTACCACCAAGACATATATGATGCAGTCTTCTCATAAAGACCATACATGCTCGACGCCTTTTCAACATTTTTGAAAAAGGGTAATGTTGAGAAGCAAAAAAATATATATATTTTCTGATCTTGCTTCAAATCACCAACCTCTCCTCGTCCTTGACATCCTGATAGAACTGCTGGTCAGGGGTGAGTTGGGTAGGTTTTGGTTCCTCCTCTGTGCCAGTTTGGGTGAGATACACCGGTAGAAAGATGGCTAAAAAGACCACGACCACCAACACTGCCGAGACACCAGCGATCAGGACCTTGTTCGCCATAACGGTGACTGTTACTGAACCTTGTTGTGCAGACTGTCTCCTGGTGCACGTGTAGAGACAGAGACAACTGGTCCGCCTAACCAGAAGCTTTTACTAACACACACATTTGATTTGTGTCCGCCACGCAGTGGTTTCCCACAGCAATTTATTCATTTCGACAAAGCTTCCTATCTAAGTTAAACTTTATTATGAAATTGCTTGTGGACAGTCCTTAATATCGATACCCGCGATAAGGTCTGTGAAACCTTTGGAACTTTAAAATTAGCCGCTGTTTGCGAAGAGTACATTCCCCTCAAACAAATACTGATCAAAGTTTAGTATGCCCTTAGACTGTGAAACGTACAGACCAAATACCTACAGTGGTCACTTCATGTTCTTGTCGTGGCTGAGGGCATGTTGTGTTACAATTATGGGGAACAAATCCATTGGCATAAATCCGGAGGGGGGTATATGTCCCCCACTTTTTGTCCGGGAGAAGGGCTATTGAATCACCCCCACTTTTCCGTGGTGACACTTTTCTGTGGTGACAAAAGAAATTTACACGGACTGTCAAAAATTGTTTTCAGTTTCCAACAGCTAAAACGGATACATTCAATATCACTCAGAAAGAGAAGGCAATAAAACAGCTATAAATAGGCCTATGCTGTTCCGATGTAAGATGCTTCATGAATGTGATATATAACAGATGTACAACTGCATCGAGAATATCGCCCCCATAAACATGTAGTGCCATATGGTTTCAGCCTCCCCTCTTTCGAATTTCCACGGCCCGGCAAGTCCCTCATCCACACACAAGCACCAAGCTCTATCCTCCTCCCTAATTTTCTGGCACAAATTTACGCCACTGAACAAAACTATTGTGGGGAAACAACGAAGGCCCTTACAACTTGGTCAATTTTTTCCTAAAGGTATTCAACACACTCCATAAAAGGGCCTTTTGATGTTGGTGGCCTCCTAAAATTGGACACAATGATATGGTCCCTATTTAATCTTACGTAAATAGCTTTATTGTTATTCTGATAATTGATATCAATAACATGACGCGGGGGTGGGGTGGGTGATTATGACTCGGAATATTCATGGATCGCACATAACAAATAATATCAAATAAGCCAAGAGATATCGTGAAAACAAAATGAGTTATGACCACTAGTTAAAATTTTAGGATAATATTTGCTTACATCATTTTGGACCACACTGTACACAGGGAAGCTAGGCTGATCTAACGCATATGCGGACTCTATCTTGTCACGCTTACAACAGCCCATTAAAAGTTCCCTTTCTAACAGTAAGATGACTTTTAAAAGCTATGTGCTCTTATACAGTATTTGTTAAGTTTGTTACATCACTTGGCGACCATTTTAATACCTTTTTCATAAACGTTTATGACCATGCATTCCATTTTCAGTCTGAATTAGGTTCTCATAGGTATACGGCGGCGTACCGGTGATTACACAGACATGACCACTAAAACAAGCAAAACGTTGTTCTGTTAATTTCGGGGGAGTGGAAATAGGAAGGATATATCCCCCACTTTATCCCCAGGGAAGATAGACCATTTCATCCCCTAGTTTGATGGAAAGAAAACATTCAGAATTCAGATTATTTTCGAATTTTCAAACAGTCACAATGAAATTTGACGCAGACTGAAAAATGCATCTGCATCATGAACGAAAGCCCCTATTGTAACGTATTGTCCCCGCGTCCTTTGACTTCTTACAGCCGGGCAGTTTGGGATTTGGGTCGGACCCCCCCCACTGGCCCACAGAAAGGTTATTCCACAGACAGGATGCTTCAGTCACGTATAGCTTGCAAAAAGAGGGGATGGTGGTAAAATGTAAACTTTTTGAAAGGTGGAGGCCACGCTCCTGGTTCCGCCGCATATTATAGTTGTCATCTATTGTGTTCAGCCACAAATAACACAAGGTTGCTCAAACTAAGATACACGAACTTTAAAAACATCATCAGTTAGCATTCGCACTTGGTGTGTGGTTTGTTTTTATTTATCGAATTTTAAAAATATTTGCATCTTGGTTTCGGATTCTGAGTAAAGCCCATTGTCCCTCTACCCAAACACTTAAAATTCCAGCGAGGATTCGTTGCAAACGCTGAGGAAACTTTGAGGTAGCTTTTCTCCAACCATGGCGGACTATGGTTCCCATATGACCGTGTGACTCTGCGATATTCGTAGCTTCAGTTGAGTCAGTGTAAGCACCTTTGTAAGTGAAGAAAAAAGGAACGCAAAGTTATAAGTGCTTTCGAAGGACCACTTGTGTAAATCAAAGGTCGCGTTCTTCTCAGTCCGCGAAGAAAGGGTGTGAGAAAATTTTCGCATTTTGCAGTTTTAAGTTCCTATTGTTGCATACTTGGAATAATGCCGTGCAACTAGAGATACGGGTGTAAAAATTGTTAATTATATTGTTAATAATATAATTATATTAATAATATTAATATTATAATTATATTATAAAAATTGTTGCTTACATGATTATTCTTTTATATTTTTATCCCCCACACTTGTAGGGGTTGAAACGCCATAATCAAGAAACTGTAACATACTGTGTTATTACAACATTCAAGTGAGTCTTCAAAACCAATTGCCTTTTTTCGTTGTGCGCGTTGCGTTCAAGAGTTGGTGTCTAGATGTTATTTTTGTACCAAATCATTTCGTGACAAGCCTGGCAACCTCGATGGGTGCTTTCCCACGATAGTAGAAGAATTTTTCTGGAAGGGGGTCAGGCAGGAGACGTTTTTTAATGTCTCATTTTGTGGCGGACAAGCGGAAACAAAGATGAAACATCATTGTTAATTGGTGCATTATGTTATCAATATCATTTTCCCCCTTGATGGAGGGGGCCGTTCGACCCCTACCCCTACCCCTCCAACTCCCCGGATCCCCGCCCGAGCATTCATCTTTGCCTCCTTTTTTCATCTGCAATTGTTGTGTAGCAAAATGCAATATGGACTGCAAGAGAGGAAGACGACGAAGTAGAACGAAACATGATGTAATCACTTTGCCACTAGCTATTGTCCCTAGAGGGGGGGTTCCAAAGTTGGTCCTTGCCTTATTGTCCGAATGATAATTGAAGTCTTCAGCAGGAATTGTGGTTTCGTTGTAGATGGCCCTTGTAGGGTCTGTAGTCAGCCCCATTATCTGGATCGTCTCGAACGCTAGCGAGTCTGGATCGGTGTACTTGCTGATTTTGTTCACAATATTTAGCGTCCCCTTCAAAAAACACACACAAAAACTATTTAAAAATTTGGCCTTGAAGAGTCTGACGCATTCATTCACACCATGATGCATTGTTTTCACATGTGTGGTAGAGTGCATGTGAGGAAAGAAACAGATTTCAAGATTTTAACAATATCCAATCCAGTCATTAAACTGAGAGAATTTTACGCGTGAATCGAAGATATTGGGTCAGTCAGATTTTTCTATAAAGCTGGAAGTTGTGCTCGAGGGAAGGGTTTCTGTGTTTCCATTCTATTAATGTGCCTTGCTCAACCGAAAGTTAAAATACGAATTAAAACATTGCGTTACAATCCAACTCATTATAGGCAAATTAATTGAAGACAAGAAGAAGGTAAACAAATAAGACCAAGAAATCTAATTCAAAATAGTTTGAAATGTGTAGGGGGACCCAAAAGCAATTCAAAGATAACATTTTTCTTCTCCCAAAATTATTGTCAGAAATGCTATGTTTTCGGTACCACGTGGAACTATAGGATATTATATTGTCCAATTTGGAAAACTTCCCAAAAATGTAATGATGCATTGAAGAGATAATCTTTTTTTGTAACTCAACTCATGATAACCCCCTTCAAAAGTCTGACGATTATGTTTGGAGAAAATAAATGCTACTTTTAGATTGCGTTTTGGGGGTCACCTTATGCAGTTAAAAACGTAATGTTACCTTTCCATTTTCGGTGTTCACACTAAATTCAGACAAGATGAAATTCTGTTCGGTGATGGAGTCTGTAAAGTCGATGAAAAAAGAAACCGTCCTGTATTAAGACTTGATGAGGTTACGTCAAATTAAACTTGTATGAACCTTGCGAGCTGGAAAAGGGGTTGCCACAAAAGTTACCTACTTAAAGTTCAAATCTGCAAGGAGTTCATTCTGAAACCGTTAACAGGAGGTCAACATTTGCAAGAACTAAGCCTCTGACCATGATTCCTTCTTGCCACAAAACATCACGCACAAGTATTAAAATAAAACAGCGCTGGTCATCATTTGCAGCCCTATCGACATCTCATCGTCTCTGCTAAAATTCATCAAAAGATTTCAATCCTGCGCACTGCAAGGGAGAAAAAAGCCTTCTCCTTTATTTGCGGTAAGGTTTTCAGTTGGTAATTTTGGTTGGAAATATTTCATAGTGGAGGGTGCATTGACAATCCCTGAAATAAATTTTCCGACGCAAATCTCCTGATTTATCTACTTACTTCAGTCTTCAGAGATCGTATACAGAAATGCACTTAACGTGAACTAAGATCATTCAGAATGACGATATTGTATACCATAGATTTATACGAGGAGATGCCGCTTTAGACGTTGCACCACACTCGGGCACGCATGTGTGCATGCATGTTTGACAAGTCGCGACACCCTTTTGGTCTAGGAAGACAAAATGTGATTGGTTAATTCGCACTACCAAAGCATATTCCGGCAATGACCATTATTTTGTCAAACCGAGGACGAAGTCGAATACCGGTACTGCATTGGACAGTCCTGGGTTAAAAAATTAAGGCACGTTTATGCAAATACGTTTTCAGTCCCGTCATCGTCGGTATGTGATGCTACAAAGTTGTGGAGATTGTCCAATGTACATGCATTGGGGAAACGCAGCGATCAGATATGCATATGGACCAAAGAAAGCTTATGGACAGGCGCCCTTGATTGGGGCTCCATAGACTGGTTCCCTGTGTTACAACCTCCCTTGCGGTTTTGGGACAGCTAACCAAAGTTTAAAAACAATGTGCGGAAATACGAAGGACGCCATCCTTTTTAAAGTGTTTGTGAAAAGCGTTCGAGCAAAACTATCAAGGATAGTGGCGACCAATATGAAAACATTTCGAGAAAAAATTGTGAAAAATTGTTACTTTTTTAGGATATTGAAATAAAAGGACTTTTACATGCGACTATTCGAGAACATTAACGATAATACTAAAAAAGGAACACATCTGAGGGCCTGAAAACATTTGGGACATGTTCAAAAACAGGCAGATTCATTGACAGATCAATCTGACCTGAAGATTTTGTTTCTGTAAACCAGATTAAGAGCGCAACATTGGAATCTCTTGAAACTTCTAAAGTGATCGACGGTAGCATGTGGTCAACTACCAAGGATCTTGATGAGCGATATATCAATCACCAGTCACACCCGTTACCGGCATTCGCTTATAGGGATACATATCCAAAGAACAACACCGAGGAAATAGGTGCAGCATTGAAGGAAACTTTCTGAAGTTTCACCATCTAGACACTATTTTGTAGAACATGAATTAAAGCTCTCTGTTAACTTGCATTGTGATATTTGTGGATTTGATGGACTAAAAACACCGTTGCTCAAGTATCGTCATGCACTATCCCAGCCCTGGCTCTTGTATATCTTATGTTCTCTAAGTGGTATCATCCGAGTAAGCCACGTTCTTGTTGCTTTGATTACCTCTGGATTCACCATCATCCCAGAACAGATTCCCACGGGCCTTCAGGTCATCATCCAGGGCTATTATCAGACCCATTGGCTTCTTTCGACTACAAGGAAGAAAAAAAGCTTGAAAGCCTTAAAAATTAAATATACATGGACACAACCGTCACTTTGTCGTTTTGTTCAACTAAGGGGGCAATTTGCAAATTGTTACTGCCTTGTAAGGAATATGTAACAGGCCGCAACGATGCTTGCTTTATCGGTTCAGCTTGACTGACTAACGATAATTTCATTGTGATAAATCGATTTGTGGGTCGTTCTGTTTGTTGGTTGATTGGCCAATATCTAAATTTGTATTTGTATATCTAAATTTGTATCTGTATTTTGTCTGAGCATGTCTTAATAAAGCAGTCTATCTGCCTGTAGCCCATTCACTGGTCGATGTTCAGTACTTCAAACCTGTATACGGTGTTATTAGCTGGTTCCTGGACAGGTAGAACATAGCCACCTCTGATGTGTAGGTTGATGGTGTACAGATCCGCCGGTAAGGTGGTGGTCTTACCGCGTAGATTCGTATCAACTTCCTTGCCCTGGGAATATGTTCCAAAAGTATGGCAAAATTCAACGTAGGGGGCCTAAGTATCGAAATGATCTTATTCTGCTGTAAACTATTGTACAGAACTTCATTTCAATTTCGGTACAGAAAAACTGAAATACATCGGCGATACTAAAAAACACAAGAAATTCCCACTATACATGCTTGAAACACTGTGTCTCACTCATCCAAGGACATTCAAAAAACAAAACCAAAATACTCACGTCGTTATAGTTGTACCATCTAGCGTTTGGTATGTACGCCTCCACTGTTGTCATACCCTGCGGTTATACACAGAAACACACCATTATAGTAAGAACTCACTGATTCATCGACACTTCCAACCTGAATCGAGGCGGACTGGGGCCAACTTTGGGGGGATCAGCCCAAGGGTGTAGATAGAATTTGACTAATTAGGCAAGGCACACAATTGAGAGTACGTGTTATAGTAGCTCCTACCTCATCTAAGACAGGTGAGATGAGAAACGATGGCCCCCATAGAAACTGTCGGTCAATATTCATACCAAGAGTCTCTGGAAACCTGCCAAGCAATGTAAGATATAGGATACAGTTAACGGGCAAACTAGATGAGCAAACACAAGAGATCCTTGACGGTCTTAAAGCAGCCGAAAAACTAAAAACAAACCCCGTCAGACATCTCCATTAAACGTCCTGATGGTTCTGGAAATACTAGAGGAACTATGGATGACTTATCAGTTTGACGTTTTGTGCATATTAAGTTTAATGGCAACAAAGTTATCTGGCAATTTTGCATGTGAAAAAGAGACGTCATTACTTTGGCCACGCGAATTGGCGACACTTTTTGACATAAGAAGCTCTTTTGGAGCACTGCTACGTTTAATTTCTCGAAAAAAAAACTAACTCGTGTAGCACAGGTCTTGCAACTGTTGTTCCCTTTGTATGAGCTTCATAAAATAGAGTGTAGAGGAAAGGTAGTAGTTTGTAGCGAATTCCCAGTACCAGTTTGACGTTGTTGGTAAACTCGCTGTCAAATGACGTAGGATGCTGCGGCTGAAAAGAAAATAAATCATGCTCATTATATTAAAGCCTATTAAACTTTAAAAAAATCTTTGAGCAGTATCAGGACGTTCGCGTGTTTACACAGATACAAAATCAGCTTGACCAACATGGTCTATATACAAAGCCAGTTGGCTTACAAGCCGTTACCACACCCCGGTAGCATTGCAGTCATAGGTACAACCTTGACTCAACAAAGCCAAGCAAAGTGATTTTAGTCGGGTGCGGTCAAATACATGCACCAATACAAGGTGGCCTATACGTCTTTAAGCTGTACCTTTTTTCAGCACACAAATCCTTAGGAAGATATCAATTTCGTCATAATGTTGGCAAATTTCGGTCAAGTGGCCTTTCTCACTGGGATTGAATTATTTTGTTTCCTTACAAGACATATGGGTATGCAAGTTTGCTTCCCACACCGAGAATTTTCAGGTACTTACTCTGAAAGATGCAGCATTGTGGTTTCGAGAGAAAGGGTAGAAAGCGCCTACTTGGCTCCATCGAAGGCATAGCTCACGGGTGGTGTTGTACGCGAATCCGCATATGTCAGCACCAATCTATGAAGAAAAAACATCACTATTGTGGAATTTATTTGATCCAAAGTTCGGTCAACATTAAATAATTACATTGGAAATAATTAGGTCATAAGCATCGTGGCCTTTGTAAACAAGTTCTGAGAGAAGAGATTTCATTTTTGAACATTTCATGTCTTTATGTCAGATTACGTCCTTGATAAGTTAGTAATAACAAAACTTTAAATCTGGTAAACTAAATTTCTTGCAGTTGTCAATGGAAACAAACAAATATGTCCAGATGAGGTCCAGAGGCATATTTTTCTCATAATTTTATTTTTCAAAATTATGATATATATATCCGTCCAGATTAACTTCGTTTAAAGTCTTTCTCTGCATGTGCAATATATAATAAATTGTATTGGCGCGGGTTGCGTGGGTTGGGGATGTCCCCTTCAATGTTTGACCGGGGCTATTGAATCCCCCCAACACACACGTTTTCGTGGTGAGAAAAGTTAGGCAGATTGTGAAGAATTTTTGGACTTCCAAACAACCAAAACGTATTCAATAGCACCTCAAAAGGGATAACAACCCGTATTTAAAATAGGTTATATAATACGTCGTTTCGATGCAAGGTTTTGCGCAGTGTAAATACACATTACAGATGTGCATCGTTACCATAAGCATCGCCCCTAAGAGTCACACGGTGTCAGAGCTCCCTCCCCACGAACGCTTTTCACCTTTCGATGGTCGAGCAAGTCAATTCCCGTAATAATAGCCCCATCCCCCAGTTTCCATCACAAATAAGCGCCACTTACAAATTGCAAAAAGTCTGTTACATGGGCATACTGAATCGCACTTACGTAAGTAAAACCAAAGAGACTGAATTCCAGCATACCTGTAAAATGGAGAAACAGTTTATCTAAATCAGAGGAATACTGGTGTGGAAATTCAGGGGCGTTTGTCCATAAGGCCTGGGGGTGTTAACGTGACTAGGATTTCAGAGTGGCAGACATGAAAACTGTAATAATAAATATGGATGTGTGAATAACTAAACTAGATAACTTAATCACACCTCATTGATATAGTCACGACGAGCAGACTGAACTACCGATCGGTAACTTATTTTAGATGCTGTTCCAAGTCCGTTTTACATGCTATATCAAGACAATGGAAGTAAGCCACACATGACCAGAAACATACATCCTTTGAATCAATGGAAACCCTATTACCCTAGTTTATAATTAAAAAACCTAAACTTTGCAATTACATCAGAGATCGACCTCAACTAAAACCAACCACAAATTTAACTCCCGACAGTTTTTTTTACAATGACACTTGTAAACCTGGTTTCACTATAAACGGTGAGGTGCCAACCACTTTGTTGAGATCCTGAAATAATTTTATCACAGGATGACGGCATAAGTGTGGAAAGATTTCGGCATCCTGAAATACATGAAGTCGGACGACGACACCACCACGAAGCTAGGGTACCTACAGCACTGTAGTCTACATAAATGATCTTTTAAAATAGATGAAAACATCATCCAACATCCGGGGATGAATTATCAAATGATGGCACCCAAAAGTGTGAAATCGATATCATTTGATTCTAAAATACATGTATGATACTATCCAAAACGTACAATTACCCTGAAAACTTTCATAACGTTCAGGGTGCCGTCGTTCAGTCGTAACGTTCAAGATGCCAACATCTATTGATGGTCGTATGCTGTCATCCTAAGATAATGTGTCAGTATCCCAATAAGTGGGATGGTACTTCCAGATCTTTGCGCTTCCGTATTCTTATTCAAACAACACGGGTGGCCTACAGTAACAACCCACCAGGAATACTCCAAGGCAGCTGCCGCCACTGACTCTGGTTGTCTCCCAGCCAGTGACCGGTGTACGCACCGCTACTCACGTACGTCGATCGAGACAGGATCATGCTTCGGTCTCGTGGGAAGACAGTCTGCAAGGCTCTGTAGGTATCAATAAACTTAAGGGATGTATGGAGAAGTTGTTTCATCTGTCTGGCTCCAACTGTTCAAAAATGATCGTCATTCAACTTGAAAAAGAGAAGCCCCTCTATAAGACAGATCACCGATTACAGTAAAACTGTGAAAGGGGTAAGAAGGTTGGAAAATGGGCCTTGTTTTGTTTTTGTATAAAATAAAAATCAAACTTTTCACACTTCTCGGAACTGTATTTTATTTCCAAGTTTTTTAAATAACTGGAAATCAGCTGTCGAGTTGCAAGTAATTGTCTACGATAAGAAGTGGCCTCGAAATTGTAATGCTTGGTGGTACACTTCCGTTTTGCCAAAATGGCATTGAAATATGACGCAGTGGCAATGTGTGGTAGCGTGTTCGACGGATTAGGGTCGGACGCTAGTATAGATACACACACAGCCTCAACTCGCTGATCTGGTCACGCAATTGCTGTAGCGTCCACAACAATGTGTTTTTCAGACAAGCTCTAAACATGGCGCCCGTCGGCAGGGACTGCGCAGGTGCGAGGCGGGAAAACCGCGGGCCGTTCGCATACCAGCGGGGGCAGCCAGCCAACTCCATGCGGGTCCGAGCTGGCGCCCCCACCGGCAGGACCCGCCAGCGCTACAGTATAATACACGTACATACAAATTATCAATGTTATAGGACTACTGACTCCAGAATCGGGTCAGATTTGGACTTGGACCTGGGCCAAGGGACTCGAGTGCTGAACCTGAGTCCGGCAGAGTCCATCGAAATATGACTGTTTTCCAATATCTTCAGCACTATTGGCTCAGATTCTTGGACTTGGATTACCAGACTTAGATTCTAGGACTCAGATTCTCAGACTCGGATTCTCGGACTCTCTAATCGGTAAGACTCGGGCTCCAATCTCAAGAAGTGGTGGACTCAACTGTAACACTGCATCATAGTACAGACTTACTGGAACGTGGCCTGAGCCATACTGTGACCATACAGGCTGTGCACGTCGTAGTGCTTGCCCCAGCTCTGTTGTGAATCCATGCAGATAGTTCTCGTGTAGAGGCCACGTCGTTCAGGTGCATCACGGCCAAGAACATCTGTCAGTAGAGAAAGACAGAATCGAGGGTAGGAAGGGGTATAGGGGAATGTTTCGTTTCTGGTTTAGTTATGTGAGTACTCGGTAAATGTGAATTCCTTCTCTAAATTTGATATAGCATATTAAAGTTTATAACGATCAGGAAGTAATTCTGCCTTCAAAAAGAGTGGTAAGCAGAATGTCAATTTCAACATTCGACGTTGAAATCAAATTTCCTCAATTTTATCCCCTTCCGAATTCAAGGCTGAGATAAAGTCTGGCTCGTACTTCACGCAAAGGCGAACATGAACGCGAAGTTTTTAGGTCAGATTAAGTATTTGTGTTGAACACATTTCAACTCAAGAGACGTTTTGCTGCAAATCTTTTGTGACGTCAAATTCGCTTCGCTTTCCCATTTGTGTGAAGTGAGAGCCGGCGTTTATTCGTAACAAAAAATCTCTTGTGATTAATGATAATGCCGCGCAAAGAACTCACCTTAGAGGTTCAGTAGAAGAGGGAGTGTTTGGTTTGGTTTGGTTTGTGTTGGTGTGGGTCGGTTTAGTTCGGTAATGCCCATAATCCAAAGCTGTGGATTACAGTTACGAAGTCAAAAGTCTCTTCAGAATAGACACAAAAGCAACGACTAGAGTTCCAGGACCCATGCTACGTTGAAAAGGTGATTAGCTTCTCTTACGAGGACAGAATCCTTGTACAAAAAGTAAGAGCACAAAAAGAAAACAAACACGTAATATTCATTGTGGGATACTCTGCCATGAATCAGAAGGGCAAAGTGACAATCTAAAGCTTACTGGGGATATACGGTGGTCTGTTGATGTTGCTGTCCTCGCAGCCAGTGAAAGAACCGTTAAGGAAATTGGAGGGTTCATTCATATCCTGCAAAAAGAGAGATTAGGCTCTATAAACCTTGTATATTTCAGCCATTTCCAATGTTGTGGAATAGATATGTACCTGTCATAACTTGTCGAACTATAAGATATATCAAGGTACAGAAACTGTTACGAAAATTGGTAAGCCATTTCTTTAGTGTGAAAGAATGTCATTACAATAAGAACCGTCAAATAGACGAGGGTGTTAGGAAACAAAAGGTTAAATTTACAATGGTAAAGATCTCAGAAACTGAAGGCGTATTCTTCGACGCAAAGCAGTAAGAATTTTGTTAAACATTCAACTTACAATCCAAAGCGCATCATAGGCAATCTTGTCGTGGAAGTCATCGCATAATGAAGTCCACCAAGCGACCGTAGCAGCACTGGTAAAGTCAGGGAAGGCACTGGCTGGTACACGGGGCCATACCTACGCCATAAAGAAACAAAATAATCATTTCCCTTCCATATGTTTCCATAAAATATGGAATGTGTGTTGTCAACTCATTTGGCACCTGCCTTGAGTGGTTCGTATTAGTTGCGTTCACCCCATTACAGCGAAAGGCTACAGGTCTCGCATTTTTCCATGTGCATGTATTACTCCACCGCCAACGCCGTTTTCTACGATAGTTCGTCTTGGTCCCGTTTTATCACCGACTGCATATGTATGTCTTGGGTCCAATTCCAGCTTATTTGTACTGCTCCCGCTAGAGCCACCCTCATTATTGGACAATTCTAAGGCTGGCCTTAGTCGGAGGAATACGGAAGCGTATGAGGATGAAACTTACAGTTTGGCCATGTGGATTTTACTCACGAGTTTTACAATTTCGATAAAAATCCAGCCATGCCAAGTAGAAATCTGCCCGGGCGAAATAGCAAATCCCTCGGGCGAATTAGTAATCTGCTCGGGCGAATTAGTGGGCCACACATTTTTACTCACGCTCTAAATAAAGGAATGATACATTATAGCAGACAAAGCTTTCAGAAAATAAGTCTGTTTTAATGCCCTCAGCAAGTTCTCGTGTGAAAACAGTTTAAGAGAAAACAAAAACCAAACCATTCGTTTACCATTCCTTTAAGTATTTCACCATTCTTCATCCTGATGAAGACGTCTTGCACTACTCCTTGGTCGTACGGTTCATAGCCATCTTCGATACCAATTGCAGGGTCCTAGGATGGTATAAAAAATTGGGCTTCTTAAACTTGGTGGCAGTATCCGTGGAGGCCAACAGTGTTTTAAGGAGGAAAACTGTATGCAGATAAAACATCAAGCAGCAGTCTGCTGGCATATTGTCCACAATTAAAAATCTCTCGTCATATATTGCACACATCTACCATGAAACTACCAGATTGTCTCTGGCTTGGCAGCCAAAAAAGCTACATTTAATTGTTTCCTGGGAAATGATGCAGAAAACAACTCACCAGAATGATGATATATCTCATTCCACTGTCATGGAGAGAGTCCACAAAATCGGACAGGTTCTGCATTCCATAACTTGTTTCGTTGACCGTAAAATCCATCAGTCGGTCCATGTAGTCAATGTCACCATAGAGAACATCCTGTAATTCATGGAATAATTAATTGATTGTCAACTAAATTAATATATTTTGCACCGTAAGGAGGTCCACAAAGCTGTACCAAATGTGCTTCAGATGGATAAGGAAATTTCTCTCTTTGAATTGGAAAATTAAAATCAGAAGATTTGTAAGATATAGGTTGTCTGATGCATTTCAATGCTATGCGTTGTGATATACCATGGGCATTTGAGCGTCAGTCATCTCCTTGACAACCTCTTTGACACGGTCGAGTGAGTTGTAGTTCCATCGGCTGAGTTGGAACCCCAAGGCCCAGTAAGGTGGCATCACAGGCCTGCCGATTGCCTGGAAAATATTTCCCAACACAGAACTTATTCGTTTGTTGGCACGATGTCTAGTATGAATGTTATCGCAAGTTAGTTACAGGGAGCAGAGATTATACCGTACTAATGCAAAACTGGCTGAAGCTGGTTATTAATGATCTATTGACAAGCACACCTCTGACCTTTTCTATGGATACGGACTTGCTATTTCAAACATCGGCCATAGTTATGCACAACTTTGAAGATATCGTTAGGCTTTTGTCGTAGATGGTTTAACAGGCCATTTTGTCTTTCCCGGCCCTCTACACTATAGCAATGCGCACTTTTTTCGCCAGTATAAGCTCAATACGGGAGACAAACCGGACCTAGCGCACACAAATAATGTTGAAAAATTTTTGACCATCGAAAATCTGACATGACTGGATCACAACACGGCAACTGCGCCATGAGGTTTGGAAATCCATCTGTGTAGACAGCGGGGTATCCAGTTTTTGGTGTCGTGGGGGCAAATTCAAAAGTGAATGCGGCATGCTGTGGGAGAAAAATATCAAAAGCCTTACTCGCGGCCCTGACATCCTTGCCTTTATTTGCTGGTATTGTTTTCCTTGGGTTTAGGTGCTAATATTTGATAAATAAACATACCGATTTCTTTCTTTGCTACTACTACTTGGTCAAAAAACATACGCCACTGTGTGTGGAGTGTATTGGTTTCCATTATCAAGGAAGTGATAACAAAATCACTGCACCGTAACTAACGTGAATATACCAGTCTTTTTTTATTCAAAGATTAGACTTGAGCATATCAATCATGCGATACCAAGGTGCTATCACTATGTTTGTTTCAAAGCAAGTAGCCTTGTTGGTTTTCCGGGTGTCAGTAGATGCACTGTCTTACCTCTGTGTACTGTGAGACGAGATTCTCAGGTTTCGGTCCAAGAAATATATAGAAATCGAGAACTCCGCCGATGGTGCGGTAGGTGAGGGCTGGCGTTGGCTGTAGTGTGACATCTAGGGGAAAAAAGGGGAATCCCAAAAAGGCATGGAGTTCCGTGAATAAATGATATCAAAACGAAGACCTGCACTCGAAACATTTTCCAATGAACAGGATAGATTTTCATTAAAACTGTTTCTCAAAATTTAAATTCACTAACAGTTGACAGGACTCCCCTTACCCATTGCATTGGTGTTAAGGAAGAGTATGCTATGCGCGTTGTTTTCACGTTCCTCGACGCACATATGGTAGGGGTGATGGCCATATAGATTCCAATCGTCCTAATACAAAGATGTTACTGGTATGAAATACCGATGTCCTCATCATCAGGGTGTACGAAATATAACAGGCGGGATATAGTGTGTGTGTCGTATTTTTAAATCCCTTGGACTACTTGCAACAGCAAAGGACGTTCCAGCCCAGTGAAGCAGCAACTCGTCAAAAGTTGGTCTTTCAAACACAAGGCCTAACAAAATCTGGAACGTTAAATTGATCTGTGTTTTCCTTGAAGATCACAAATGGCCAAGCAGTGCAGACCCTGAGAAATGCTTTTCAAAGCCATGGTAAGCCTTGTAGAGTAGTTGCTATTAAAAGCATTATAAGTAAAGCAAAACATGGTGCCAGTTTTACAATGGACTGGATTTCTGAAAACCTATAACTGAGTCCGATACGAAGTACTTTCAAACTTACTATTGGAAAGGCGTCCCTGGTAAACATTGTCCAAGTCTTGTAGTCCACATCGTGCAGAAAGCGCTTATGATTGTGTTCACCAAAGCCGTACACGTATTGAGATGGGAGCTTAGTCGATATCTGAAGGAACTGATCCTCGAATGTAAAGCCACCCACAGACGAATCAAAACTAGAAAAGATGAATTCAATTCAGGGAAGCAAGCTAATTTTTTTTTTGGGGGGGAGGACCATAACATGGTCCCTGAAATAAAGAGCTGGTTTACTTCAATGTCCAAAGCCGTGAAACAAGTTAATTTTATCTTTTTCATACATGGTCCAGTCAAAATCCCCTGTAGCGACTCGCAAATCTACTTACACTGTAACTCCCGTGCTCGTCCTTTTCACTTGGATACTGAAGGGGTTCTGCTTGTAGCTGACCTCGTACATCGGATTAGACGGCCTCTTGGTCGGTTTAGGGATGTTGACTGCTTCGCTTGGAACTTCGTATCGGGCCCTCTCTGCGTCTGTTATCTAAAAAAAGTGTTGAACATCAGTGATCCACAACTTATTTCCGGTTTCAGGGAGTAAGGTTTACCACTATGGCAAAAAAAACCAGCGGATTGCAAATAACATATATCAAAACCTTCGCACATTGGCGAATAGAAGGAGATGGAGAGCAAACGGTGTCATGCCCCCGGAGGGACGATTTCATTTCCCTTTCTCTGAAAAAAGCTGGTAAAAACATCCAATTGTGGTATCAAAAAATAATAAAGCCCACACGGGTAACAAAAGCAATTACTCAATTTCTTACCGTTGAGAACTTGGTTTAGGATTCACCCAGGGACAAAAGGGAAACATCTTGGACGGGACATAACCATAATGATAATACTTGTAGATATAGGAATTTATTGAACTGAGCTGCAGAGCTTTCAGAGTGCATGGAAGTACATTTTAATACCATCTGGAAATTAATTTATAAGACATACCTTGAAGTGTAAGCGATAGTCCGTCTGGAACTCCACCTCAAGTTTGAGGTTGTCGATATCAGCACCATAACGGCTAGGTATGCCCTCTAGCCGGATAAGCCTAGCCTCCCAGCCTAGGTTAGTCTCTGTAGGTGGGTTAGTCATCTGATAGCCGTAGGTCAGCGGATAGAAGCAAAGAGGAGCCTTGGCATTTGTAGCTGGCTTCCAGAAACAACCACGTGCCTCGCAGAGCTCTTTAGTGGCAGTAGTGTTCAGATCAGGGAAGCAGTCGAATCTAAACAATCAAAAGGACCAGGTAACTAAAAAGTGCCTGTATCCATTCGTATACTGAAAAATTGCCTGGGTTAAATTTTAACGCGAGCGAGGGTGAAAACTGCAACTACCCAATAGTTTAGGTTGTTTCAACCCAATTTGGGTGAATGAAATTAATTTGTGGGTTGTTTTAACCAAATAGTGGTTAATATTTTCTGTGTGAAACTTAAACAGAATGTAATTCTCAACCCAAAGTCGGGTTAACACAGCCCATATTTGGGTAGTTGCAGTTTTCACCCTTCCTTGGGTTAAGATTTTGAAATAAAATAATTTTTTTTCAGTGTATAGATTCAAGGGGGACCGACAGAGGCAATGACCTTCCCTCTACACAAGGAGGGAATGTTTTTGATTCACGAAGCGAACATGGAAGCCAGGTTTAGTCTCAGAAAATCCAAAAATGGTTACAAACAGAATGTCCAAATTTTTGGCAACCCCGGAGAAATTTGGCCTCCAGAAATGTTCGATTCGGGATCTACCCTTGTACCGATTAGTGTCTGTAACCTACCTGAACGTTGAGGAAACATTAATTCAGTTCAATCGTGTGATGTAGTGTGTCCTTGTTACATAACAGCTTCCACTTATTACGTAAACATGTTGTCAAATACATTCACACAAAGCAATTTTGTTTGTTTTGTTCGGTCGTTTGCGTCCGGTTGTTAGGTCGTTTTAAATAAAGTCTTTACGGTTCGTTCATTTTTCTGATTGATGGAAGACATTTTAGAAGATGCGTCAAGCTTTGACATCTTAACCCAAATTCTGCTGTTAATTGTTACTTATTTGAGATGTTAATTTCCATTTGCAGTTTCGAATGTATAATTCAGGTCAGTATATAGCTGCCTTTTCAAAATGATAAATTATTTTCCCTAACTTGGTCAATGGTATTTCGGTTATCCCCCCCAAAAACACTTTTATGTTGTTATGCAACAACCATCAACATGCTATGGTAGAGTGGTAGGTAGCCGCTAGTTAGATGTAGGTCCAAACCTGTCTTCATCCTTGACGTCCCGATAGAACTGCTGGTCTGGGGTGAGTTGGGTAGGTTTTGGTTCCTCCTCTGTGCCGGTTTGGGTGAGATACACCGGTAAAAAGATGGCTAAAAAGGCCACGACTACCACCACAACAGAGACAACAGCGATCAAGACTTTGTTCGCCATGATGCTGCATTGAATTTATTACCCAGATGGAAAATCAGGCGTATCAACACTACTTTGATCAGCACAATAGCTTATGCATAATTAGTTATCTGTTTCATTGGGCGTATTAACCAATAAAAGCAAGTCATGCAAAGAATGGACGTGTTTACACAAACCTCGGCCATAGCTGACACGTTGTGAACTTTACACCCGTTTATTTATTTTCAGCTTCTTATTCAACATATTTTTTGGTGCCTAAGTTCATGCTATACTGAGTATGTTTGTAACCAAGATAATGGACATCTGCAGTTTTTTTTATGATTCTCATATATTTCTGACATTGAGGGAAGGTTAGTTGGGAGAAGAAGTGGAGAAAAATTACCTGTTTAGATAGATAGATATTTGGAAAATACTCAAGAGGGAGGAATATTTAATTGACAATTATTGTAACAAATGGAAGTATTTTATATAAAGGACATTCAATTAAAATTTCAACCAGGAAATCGACGGAGCAGTGTTTCACCCTGAATGCTTTGAGTACCCGAGTGCAAAGCATTGCTCCACATAGAAACAAATTTTGGGTATGAAATGCTTGCTCCTCTTTTTCTTCCCACAACTTAATTCCATACGCTAAACTTAGGCAGAGGCGGATCCATGACTTTTGTCCATGGAGGTCAGGCCCGTCTTTTTTTTTGTAATGTACGACTGTTTCGGTCAGGCAGACAGTGGGTAGTGCATTTTATTGTCATTGACGCATTTACCTTTATTCACGTGGTTGAATGTCATTGTTAATTAAAGGTTTCCCTGGTTAATTTCGTACTTTTTTCATTTGAAATGGCTTAAAATAAAGTTTGCTTTCGTTAAAGAGGGGCCACTTGTCCCAAATGTTGATTCCAATTTCGAAATAACACCACTAGATTTCACTTTCACAGCATTGATTGATTGATTAACACCATTGAAGTTGTAGTCGTACAGATGTACATCACCCCCTTGCCAACCACTTGGATTGTTGGACCGGTTCCAATTTGCTGGTCCTGATGCTGGCTGGACTGAGGGAAACTTTTGGACACTATAAGTACACCCTTTAAAATCAGAGAAATATACGTGAGAATCAATCACACTGTAGCAAAATGAACGATTAAAATTCTTTGCATCACTTTATCTCATCCTGAAATAATTTCAAATTATTAAGTGTATACTTTGGAACTATTCAAAAAAAATCTGGAAAGTAATTTTGCTGGTTTTATTATTTGACTGCGAATGTAACAACACCATATTCCCTAAATAAAGAAATTCATTAATTCAAGTCATGCTTACAATATTCGATAAATTTGCAAAAATATTCAACATTCTAAATCCGTGTTTAGAATGTTAAAGCACAATGTTGCTTTCACTTTTTATACACGGGCAAACTCTAATAAACACTATAGCCACCCAACTCCTTAATGTCATTGTTCAATACGGGCGTTTTACAATAGTGCGCCTCCAAGAGTTTCGAACGCGTTAGCCCCAAATGTGTCGCCCCAAAGTGCGTTTGGAAAGGATCGACAAATTTCGCGCCTTGTGATTGGCCAACGCGTTGCAAACTCTTAGAGGCGAACTATTGTGAATCGCCCGTATTGGTTATGTTAGCAGTGTGCGCATTACAGGGCAACGTCAGCTAGTATACTCCCCAGGGAGCTGAGATGATTTCAGGAATGTTCTTTTGTTGAGAGCTCAATGCGCCGGGAAAATGATAATACGGCGCCTTGAGCATCAGTTGTGATGGATATGTGCGATAATATCCACTATTATCATTATCATTATCAACTGACCTATCGCCGTTAGTGAGTCAGCCACGCCCCTAAGACAACCATATGGACATTATGGTTTGGTTTCTTTTTTTTCCAGATTCTGCGGGTCACATGTCTAGTTTGTATAGCAGCTTTGACGTATAATTCTACCTTGAAAGGTCAGTTACTTAATATGTAAACATATAAAAGCAACAATTATTATAATTGTATTAGAAACTTTACATACATGTGCTAAACAATCTTTCTGTCCCATAAGGACACCGTAGGTTTTAGACGTCTTAAATTGATTTCAGTTAGCATTTTTGGTCTGTGAATATAAACAACGAGTTTTCGGCGGAAGGAGCTTAGTGTTGGGATTTGTTGAGGAACTTGCTTCAAACTTGCATTGGAACAGTAAACAGATAGGAAATCAAAAACTTCCTGAAGACTTTGCAAATTACAAGATCTCCCTTACAATTTCCAGCATAATTACTTTAGTTCCCAATGGGCAGAGAAATCAAAATCATGCAACCGTTTGAAGGAATTCTTGTTCACTGATAAGGATGACGATATTTCTGAAAAAGTACTCACTAGAATATGTTTAAATCTCATTTGTTGGATTTTACAAATATCCTTACATTCGAAGCAACAAAGCTGACAAACAAAGGACGCAGCAAAAATCTTTGTTGGTTTGTCGTCAATGCATGTAGACATTGTGAACCCATTCACAACACAAAAAAAAAACAAGCAGACCAACAACAAGACCGTAAACTGAACTTTTCAAGGATCAAGGAATTCAAAATGAAAGTCAAAAAGCTGCGAAAGACATAAACACACGCGTCTGTATTGAAAATGGTGTAGCCATTAACTTCTGGTCTCCAATACAGGCACGCGTCTTACAGGAGACAGTAGCCGAGACTTCTCACAAGCTCTATCCTTTTTCTTCTCCGTCTTCCTTTGTGTACCAATGATATTCTATGGTTGCCAAACAACTGTATGAGATCCAGAAATGATCAGGTCGAGTCCCGTCAGTTCCAACATCTAAAAATATAAGGGAGGGAATTAGAATGTTATTACAATTCATTCTCGGTCACTGTTTCCAAATAAATCGACACCTTTACCGAGACAAACTGCAGACAGGCCGCTTCCCATACGTACATATTTGGGGTGCATTGCGTTACGATGTCTTCATCATGCGTTTCTCTTTCACGGACAGAAAATCGACTCCATTAACATAATGCACGTGTACGTTGCGTTAGGCCGTCCAAATTGCTCCGAGAGCGATTTGGACGGATATGCAATGCTTGGCGCAAGTGTTACCGGGCTCATGGAAAGACGCCTGATGAACTCGGATGAATCCCTACACTGTGTGTGTTTTGTGCTTGTGAAGTTTCTGGAAATACATTCGTTTGCACTGACGTCAGGTCTGGGGTGCCAGGTGGAATCCATTCCTATATCCCTTTGTTCGTTATGAATTGCTAAGCAATACTAAGCTCAGACAAAGATTTAGCCAAGATTTACGTTGAAGAGGCCTTTTCAGATGAGCTCATGCAGACCACTGTCATTTTTGCAATAACGGCTACTGATAATTCCTTTCACACAAAACTCTCGTTTTAGGGACCTTTTAAAGCTTTGCAGATAAACCAAGCTCCTAGTGTTTTATTTTACCTCGCTCACAAAATACGTTAGATAGGATTGGTTAACTAAGGGACTAACGTATATTACTGCAACATTTTCATGAGCTTGAAACTTGTCAACAAGTACTTTGCGGCGCGGGACGATTAACGATGCGCAAGAAACTTGCAGAAATTAAAAAAGCACGTCATACTATCAGACCGTCTTTTTCCAAGCAAGTTTTTGTACATGCAATTATCCAATAACTGAGCAAGAAAACTGTTTATAGTAATCAGCTACTATGTCAACACTTTGCGTTGCCCTCAGAACAAGAGTTAAGATGTACTCCAGGTTTGAATAACATATTACCTTTGCAGTTGAATCATAGTTGAAGTTCCCGGATGGTATTGCTACGTTGTTTGCCTTGGCATTAGAAGGAACCGTGGTCAGCCCCATTATCTGGATGGTCTCAAATGCTAGAGAGTCTGGATCCGTGTACTTATTGATTATGTTCACGATATTCAGGGTACCCTAAGAGATTAAAGGAAAAGGACTTATGTTGGCAGCGTTTTGGTTTAAAAAAGTAACAATTCAAAGTTTAGAAGTGTTTTTAACTACAGGTTTTCTCGAGTCCAGCAATTACTAATAAGACGTGGAGCAGAAATTCGTGATAAAAAACAAAACAGCTTTTTGTAAGCGAGGAAACTTTGATTTGAAAATGACCTTGCCAGAAATGTCTATAGTGCACATTCCGTTCATACCCAGTAAAGATATATTTCAAAATTACCCATTCCAAAATACAAGTCATAAAGGCCTCACACTTTACGGAAGACTCTTCTCATACTCTACCTTTCTAATTGTAAACATTGTTGGAAATTGGATGTGCATTATGCACTCGACTATAAAACTCTGCTGCGGTTGATTTAACTTAACGAAAAGAATTACCACTCCATTTTGGGTTGAGACATCAAACTCTACCAGTATGTATACTTCGTCCTTTATCGTGTCTGCAGACAAATGGACAGATAATATCAATTTATTAACAGGAGGGTGACTACACTTCTCAGCTAATCAGGGTAATTTCTTAAAGACAACTTCATTTGGCACACGAATCAAACGTTACGTAGTGAGAGGTTCCCTTGCAAGTGAATTCGTCAAACATCCCTTTTAACTTAGAAGCGCTTTGAAGTGAGCTGTTGCTAACCTCTGGATTCACCATCATCCCAGAACAGATTCCCACGAGCCTTCAGGTCATCATCTAGGGCTATCATCAGACCCATTGGCTTCTTCCGACTGTAGAGGCAAAGCAAAGGTCGGTGATTCAGAGAGTAAACTACCAGTGAGAAACGATGATCACAAAATGATGGCACTATCTACATGACTTCATAAAAATCATTGCAAAATCAACTATTCGGTGGAGTTTCCATTTGGAGACAAGGGTTGCACGTACATTGCGAATCGTTCAAGTAAAAAGAAAAAGGCAGATAAATACCACTTTTGTATTGTGTGTGTACAATTACAAATATTTTGTGGGAGTTCATCGTATACACGGATTCACGATGGCATTTCGGCCCATAACTGTCCGAGGTTGATGCGTCATCAGTTTCTGCATTTGAAAGTCCCATTTTGGTATAGGATCAATTACAGTCCTGTGAGGTTTTTCTTAATCGCCATTCCGTTATTGGCTCGAAAAATGCAACGATAATCCACTGAACACCCCAAACGAAAGGAAGTGAGAGATTCAAATTCTTGAATGATTTGTTATGGCTCACCGTTGCTATGGTGTCATGAATATCGCCCGCGTAGCGCATTTTTGAGGGCGTGCTACGCGTTGGGTTCGGTGAAGGTGAAGAAATGCAATTACAATTTTGTCTTTCTGCAGCATAGATAATTCATAAACATTTTATGCACTGTTTGCTCAGTGTCCCTAATACTTCGGATTATTGCCACTGTCAGTTGACAAAGTTGAGATCTAGAGTCCCTAAATTCTTAACTTTTACTGTCCTATCGACATTATTTAAGGATATAAATATTTTACTGTCCTATCGACATTATTTAAGGATATAAAGTTTATACAGTTAACAGGCCCTCCTCCATACACAGAATAGGGACGTATGAGCTCAGACAATCCTGGCCAAATCTCGTGAGGCCCCAACCCTGGCCCCCTCTCAACGTTGGGTCTCACTGCGCCGTCTGCACTCCAGCTCGAGATGACAACATTGACCGGGGAGTGGGGGACCCAGAAAGGGTGTGGCTATTGACAGGTGTCCCAACAATTTTGTCCAGGATCGTAGGTTTAATAGTGTTAAGTCCCCAACAGCTATCCCGCTTTTATAAATTTTTCAGATACAAATAAACAACAGAACTTGTCAAAACATGTCCCATTTCCTTCCAAAGCAAATTCCCCTTTGTCACTATCCCAGACAAGCGTACGTATAAATTGCACGAGCCCGTGTGATCGAAGACGATTCTGGAAAAAAGGAGGCAAAGCTAACAAAACCAAACGCCCAATAAAAGTTTAAAAAAATCCTTATGCTTAACGAACCTTTTCAGACAAAATGTGATTTTACGACAAATTCATGTCGTTGTATCTTTAATTAAACGCACAGTGTGTTTCTCCACGTAAGTTTGACAGAGCTATAATTGCTTTGCACTTGAACACCTACCTGTATACGGTGTTATTAGCTGGTTCCTGGACAGGTAGCACATAGCCACCTCTGATGTGTAGGTTGATGGTGTAAAGGTCCGCTGGCAGGGTGGTGGTCTTGCCACGCAAATTCGAATCAACTTCCTTGTGCTGAGTAAAAGAAAGCAACAATTAACTTGGTGACCATAATGAATGAATAATGAATACATGAACTTGAGCTGGTATCCTACGTCTTTCCAAAAGCACATATTAAGCAGTATAAACCCATGGCAATATGAAAATTGTAAATACTCCCAATATGTCGACATTATCAAAATTACACTTATAAAATACTAATATAATATTCAAAAATTAGTCATTATAAAACTTCACATCAAAAGACGTTGAGTATAAGGCTTTCGAGTTACATGTGTTAGATCACAATCCGTAATGCCGAAGACTTACTGTGTGATAGTCGTACCATCTGGCGTCAGGAATGTATGCGCCAACAGTTGTCTCTCCCTGTGGGTAAAGGTGTTTGACACACCACTAGTTAAACTAACAGTCTCCACGTATCAGACGTCGGGGGTGAGCAACGTGAACAGAGATGTACGCTCAGTATATGCGGGTGAAAAATAATTTCCTGACAAAGTATCACCTACCTCATCAAGGACTGGCGTGATGAGGAACGATGGTCCCCACAGGAACTGCCGGTCAATGTTCATACCAAGAGTCTCTGGAAATCTACAAGATGTTAACAACAATAATCCTAGTTCGCATGTGTCATTTTTAAAACTATAGCTCACTGAATTACCAAAGACTTCACAAATATTGAATTTAAGAGAGGTTCAGAATTCTTCAATCTCCTCAGAATGGGTCGTTTATGTTGGAAGCCTCGGTTTGCTTTATAGACGTGTAATATTTTTCGGGATATGCTGAAACATTCTTTACGATGAACTACATAGTAAGTAAATCGATGAAGTAAAGGATTATCAATTTAATAACCTCCTTAAATATCAGCTGCATAAATAACTTCATATTTTATGTGATAAAGGGGAAAGATTTGAACGTTCGTTATTTCTTGTAACACTTAAAAAGAATTTGTCGGTAAAAATACCGCATTTGTCCAGGGAAAATATGTAATATTGTTTACAGAAAACCAGCATTGATTTATCATATTATATCTTGGGGATTAGAGGAGTTGCCTGCGAAATTACAGATACAAACGTACTCATGGAGTACTGGTCTTGAAACTGTGGTCCCCTTTGTGTTGGCCTCGTAGAACAGTGTGTAGAGGAATGGAAGTAATCTGTAGCGAATCTCCAGCACTCCTTTGACGTGAGCCGTAAATTGGGGATCAAATGCTGTTGGTTGCTGAGGCTGGAAACGAGTTTAATCATTGCAGTACGGTTATGAACTTTTTGCGACAGTACTGTAAAGCTCCACTTCTCTGAACGATTGACTATAGACATTTAATGACTCAATCCTGAAAGGCCTCCACTTAACCTTTTTCGAAATAGACCGAAATGGCTCAGATTATTAGTCTCTGATGGATCAATTTTCGGAAAGCCGACGGCAGACTTTTGTCAACTTCAATTAATCTGTACATGTCGTTGTCAGGTCTCACACTACAGCCAGCCCATGAACTTTCTTTTAATCTTGTACTTCAGTCCTCCAGTAAATCGATTTAATTTGTATACGCCCTCTGTTATAACCCGAGATATCCGATGGCTTTCATAAAACTGGAGTCAACGTACGAGTTCGAAATCAGCAAAAATGCAAAGCGTCACTCGACAAAAATATGCACTGCTATGATACTGAAGGAAATGGCTTTGGGAACATTCCTTGCCAAGCAATTTTAGGGTACGGTGAAATAATACTATGCTTGCTCATAAAACGGCTCCCTGTCAAATCTATCATAACAATTACACTATAGATGAGTCCATTTATTGCATCAGAACAGTACTTCAGGTGTACTGGTTTCAGCAGTCAGTTTGTTCTAGTTAAAACTGGCAAGATCTTACAACTACTTACTATAAAATCCCTACCATTATGGTTACGAGCAAAGGGGTAGAAAGCGCCGACTTGGCTCCATCGTAGGCACAGCTCACGGGTGGTGTTGAACCAGAAACCGCAAATATCAGATCCAGTCTGTTGTTGAGTAGCAATAAAAGAATTTCATGACTGGATGTAGCCTTACACTTCCCCCCGATCAAAGAATAATTCTATCTTAAGCCATGTCCAAAAGTTATGGGAACGGCCAAAAATGATACACGTGTCTGTAACTGAAGTGGAGTCGAACAAGGCCGTAGTAAATAAGTCCCAAGCATGTTTGAACAATTAAGGGCATAACTTCATGAATGCACTGAAAAGGACTGAGAATAAACGTCTCATTGTTAAACGGCACTATGTTTATTATTTGTATGGGTCAGAATCCACAGTAAATTTAAAAAACACACAATTTTCTGCGTGCTTTTGTCTCATGTTTCCAGATTTCAGTGCCCCTAGACTACCTACAGTGCCTTCTATTCATTTTGAGTTCATATGCCATCAAATTTGTGTGAACTTACGTAAGCAAAGCCGAATAGACTAAACTCAAGCATACCTGCATGAAAAGGGATAAGGATTGAAGTATGGACTGCTTCAATTTCAAGTTGCTCAAGTGGCAATAGGATCAATATTTCAAAATGAATTTCTTTAGAACAAGGGACTGGTGTTAGTAAGAGCATAAGATAAAACAGAATATCAGGTAGTGTTTAAAATAAATAGTATACAAAAAACTCTAAATCATGCACTGTCTCCATAACTTGCGGAAAACAACTTAATATACACAACATGCCATACACACAATAATAGAACAATTTCCAAGACACCTACACAGTGTCCTGCATTGGCAGCAAATGTCCCAGAGCATTAAAAACGTAGCCCGACTTAATTATTTACCAGGAATACTCCAAGGCAGCTGCCGCCACTGACTCTGGTTGTCCCCAAGCCAGTGACCGGTATACGCCCCGCTACTCACGTACGTCGATCGAGAAAGAACCATACTACGCTTGTTTGGGAAAACGGTTTGTAAAGTTCTGGGGGATAATACAAAGAAACGGGAATATATCAGAAGACGAAGCCATAGAAGCCTCACTAACAAGAGTGGCGTGCATTATGAAGAGTGTTTAACAAAAGAAGGTAAAAGAACATTACTTCCTTGTCCGTGACACATTGCTAAAGGCCATTGTTGTTATAAAACGGGTTTCTCGCAAAATGGAAGCATATTCCAAGACGGTCAATAATGAATCTAAGACTTCATTCATGTCAACAGACTTTACCTGTGGGTGACCTGCGACATGCTGTGGCCGTACAGGCTGTGCACGTCGTAGTGTTTTCCCCAGTTTTGTTGGGCGTCCATGCAAATTGTCTTCTCGTAAAGTCCACGCTTGTTAGTTGGCCATATAATACGACCAAGGATATCTGAAAATGGCAGGGAAAGACATTAAAAACGACCACAATCGAACGAAAAAACGGGCAATTTCTACTCTCAACCTTCGCTACAATCACAGTTTTCTTTTTTTTTTATATTCGTAGGGCAAGTTTGATTTAGACAAGCAGAAATTGTCAAACCTCTGACAGCAGTTACTGTTTCAAGCCTGTACAAACTTCCAAGGGGTTAATTTCCTCACGTAATTAGTCATTCCAAAGGTGTAAATATGATTTGCACTACCCTGACAAATAAGTCACTTTACAAAGAATGACACAGTGGACAAACTTACTTGGCAGGTAGGGTGGATTATTGATCTTATTTTCGTCACAGCCAGTTAGGGAACCAGGCACAAAGTTGGATGGTTCATTCATGTCCTAAGAAAAATAAAAACACCGACAGGACATTATTGTTTGACATCTGGATGTTGGCCACAGCACGTACAATTCAGGTGTGCGTGCTTGAGGGGCAGGCGCATGGCTAATCCCTCATAAAAAGTCGCTCACAATTAACTACTCACCAACAAAATTAGATGCCAATTAATAGACACCACTGAGTTAGTTTAATTCAATACCACTTAAAAATGACTTATCGTTACACAGTGTTAGTGTTTAATTTCACCCGCTGTAATTTACCCCAACGATGCTTTTCGGGCAGTCTGTTCAGAGCTAGTTGTTTAGGAATAACAATGGTGTAGGATGCACGTAAAATACATTGACCTTTGTCCTGCTTTTCACCAGAAATTCAGAAGTAACCGCCAAATCTCTTTTGTATTGAGTCTTTTCCCCGAAAGGGCACTACTGTACCCTGATTTCCTTGTAAACATAGTGAACTTACAATCCACAATGCATCGTAAGCAATTTTGTCGTGGAAGTCATCGCACAAATGCGTCCACCACGCCTCAGCTTTGTCGGAAAGAGTGAAGTCCGGATACACACTTGCGTTAGTGGCAGGCCACACCTTGACAGAGAATCAAACATTGGACACCATGGAAATGACTACGTACCAACACTCTACGGTGGGACTTCTCGTCCCACCGTAAGGAAGTGAGAAAATTGAAGGGTGGGAGAGTAAAGATATAAAATCTGTAGAGTCATTGAGGAAAACGAAGAGAAAATAACAAAGGAAACTGGATAGAAGGGAATACAAATAGTCCCAATTGCGACAAAGGAATAAATACGGCTGAGAGAAATGAAAAGGAAGCAAATATGGGACATACACAATGCGAAATGAAATCCGCAATGGAATGCTAGACTAACCTCCCCTTCCAGAACATTACCATCTTTGGTTTTGACGAAGATGTCCTGTTGTAATCCTGTGTCGTATGGTTGATAGCCATCCTCCTTTCCTATACAGTGGTCCTGTGTAATAATCACATTTTTTTCAGGAAAAGAAAGAACATAGTGACATTGATAATATTCAAGGAGGTTCAACATGACAGTTTTTGATCTGTCAAAATCATCCTGGAGAGAAGATCCAAAGAGGCAGAAATCATCATGGTGTAAAACTGTTCGACCTTGAATTTTCAGTGATTTGTTTTTATTATCAGAAAAATGGTAAATTTATCTAGAACTTTAACTCAACAGCGTTTGCACACTACGACCAGAATTGGTCAATTAATGTTACTCTGATTTGGGCAAGCCGTCAATTTGAACGTCTGTTATCACATTATGTTTCCTCAGTTTCATTATAAGAGTACCATTATCAGGATCCAGGAATTATTCAGGGGGAGGGTCAGGCAGGAGTTTTTTTTAATGTCTCAATTTTGCGGACAAGCAGAAACGAAGATGAAACATTATACATGACATACACTGTTTACAATGCTATCAGTGCACTTACCTTTATACACTTTAGTTATTTTTCATAATTTTCCCATTTCCCCCCATTTTTGTCTCAAAGCGGGCTTGGACCCACCTGAATCCGCTCCTGATTAGAAGCCAGCTCAGTATGTATTCTGTCACAATTTGTTTTAGAAGCTTAACATTTCCTGACTAAAATTATGTTCACATATATTGTCTCCTTCAAAAAACATATCTGAGTAAACCAAGATCTATCCGTCCTTGTCATCGTGTCTCTGCCACAAATACAAAACCACCTTTCCATTCACAACCTTGTATCATTTACTGTGCACACACCTCATCAGACACTTATGCCAACTGACATATCCTATAGTTTGGTTTCAAATCGAATGATGGACAAATAATTAATAATCTTAAAATACAACGGCATCGTGGTGTCCAGCTCTTTGTTACTTCGCCATTTGTAGACTAAATTTGCCGTTCAATAATGAAAACATCCACCAACCAAAATAATTATGTAACGCATGCCCTTGCTATGCAGCTCGTCCACAAAGTCAGACAGGTTCTGTGTTCCATAACTGGTTTCGTTGACAGTGAAATCCATCCATCGATCCATGTAATCGATATCCCCATACTGGACATCCTGCGAATAGAAGAATTGATAAATGCTCCTTATTTCAAAACCCAGGAAGTAATTAAATTACGTTGTTCTTTAGTTACACGTGCGATAAGGTGCTGTTCGCGAGGTTGCCATGGGCGAAAACAGGTGCACTTGCCTAGAAAAAATAATGAAAAATAGAAAGGTGAAAAAAGCAAGAGAAATGAAAAATGTAAACAGGTGAAAATCAACCACTTGCTAAAAAATGATAGATTCTCTGCCCCCCTCGAAGTTGACTCCTTTCAGCCATTCATGGTTTATCTTTTCGTTTCTGATGAGTGCTTTGAACCACTCAACCGAAATCCCCTCCCCGCAAAAGTGCTTGTCCCGCGAAATAACCCTGAAGACGCCAATGGATGAGTACATCCACTCCTAGTTATATTTATAAAAATTCATTATTTATGGTTAACAGAATTAGAAAATAGGGATTTCTCAGCAGCACCTAAGCCTTTACACGAAAATTGTATGCAAACATGAACAACTTTCCCAAGGTAATTGACATTTGCTTTGCTTCCATGTACTTCCCTCTTCTTTCCTCGTTATGCATCATGGTTGTTCCTGTGAGATTTTTATTTGTTCCTGCTCATGGGGAATGTTTTCAATGCTCTTTATGTTTTTATACACTGATTTAAGACTGCAAGGCTCCTTTGCTCATTTACATATACAATCCCTTAAGATGTTCGCCATAATTTTATTGCAATTTTCAGTTTGCTATTAATCTATTGTTTTGTAAAGTTATTAATACAATTACAGAAGTCCAGCGTGTTGTGAGTTGTCTATAAAACACGGAACGTGTGGGCTTTCCAGCGCACAGACCAAATTAAAGTTTGATAATAACACCCCTGCTTAATCGTCAATATCGTTGTACACCAGTTTGAATGAAAGCGTTACCAAGGGCATCTGTGCGTCATTCATCTCCTTGACGACTTCCTTGACACGTTTTAATGAGTTGTAGTTCCATCGACTGAGCTGGAACCCTAAGGCCCAGTAAGGTGGCATCACTGGCCTGCCGATTGCCTTCAGGAAGAATGCACGAGATAATGAAATTTTGTCGAGCCATAAATTATTCCGTAGGTTGATTCTTAGAGTGTGGCTAGCTAACTGTAGCATGTGTAATAGATAACTTTTAATTTTTATGAAAAACCAAGACAAACTTTATACGTCTTTGCTTTACAATGAAAGCTCATGTGGAAATAATTCTAATTCTGCGCCTGTTACAACTTCACAAATATAACATCTTTGGATTTCTTGAAGGTTGTGCATGTCGCTTTGTAAACATTAACCTTCCCAATCACTATTATTGCTTACCTCTCTCATGGACCCTGTCCTGGTAAATAAAATGATGTAATTGTTCCTTTTTGAAGCGGGAATGAAACTGTTAACGTTAGATAATTGTTTCAATTTTTTCTATTAAATTAAATTAAATTAAATTAAAGTTCCCAACAGATGACTGTTTCAGAGACAATTCCCCAAAGATTAATAACGCCATTTAGAGAGCGCAAATAACCTTTTGCATGACATCTAACTGACTGTCACATTCAAAATTTACCTCTGTGTACTGTGTCACAAGGTTTTCCGGCGTAGGGCCGAAGAAAATGTAGAAATCTAGAACGCCACCAATAGTGCGATAGGTAAGAGCTGGAGTTGGCTGTAGAGTGACGTCTGAAAAAGACCAAGTTTTTGTTTGAAGCACTTTGGAATGAAAATACATATTTATTCATTTTTATATAATACATGCATCAATCCCCGTCATCGGATTGGTGGATCGATGATCACATGTCATTGACTGTTATTGGTTCTATTCAGTGATACCTATTGAATTGACCTTCCTTTCTCTTGACTGTTTCCCGCCCCCATTTCATTCCCAGAAAGAAAGAGAGAAAAATGGAGGGATGAGAACCACTCAAAACTGCACAGTGTTTATGTACAAATGTACATGTACACGAATCTGTTTAGCGCATGACGGACGTTAACACGCGAGCGCGACCTATTTGGTCTCCTAACAGAAGAGGATCTATGCTGGTATTGTACACAAAAAATAATGAATGATTCACCTTTGTGCCGGAGTAAAAATAGTTTCAAAAGACATATCACATTTCATCCGACAGTTCATGAAATTATACTGACCATGTAACTTATAAACTTTAATAAGTTGTATGATATTCAATAATTAAGCGCACTAATTTCTGCGCTATTCTTCAACAAGAATAGTGCAGCAAAAACAGCATATTAGACTTTTATGATTCTGAGGTTTTAAATGAAAACAGACTGAATTAATTAATGATAGGGATAATGAGGAATATAACTAAGACAATAAAATCCCGCTTTCAAAATTACTAAAAGTTGCTCATATATACCTAAAAAGGTAAAGTGTAAAGAGTCACATAATTGAAGCTAAACAGCATCCCTACCCATTGCATTGCTGTTCAGAAAGAGGATACTATGGGCGTTATTATCACGATTCTCAATACACATGTGATATGGGTGATGACCATACAGATTCCATTCATCCTGTGGAAAGAGCAAGACAAAATGAATATCATAAATGTGTACATCCATCATTGTGTTATAGAATTATTCCTATAGAATGAGCTTTTATTTTACTTCAACCAGTGTTAACCTATGATCGTCTTTTCCTGGCAATAACAAAGTTATTGTTATACTACCTACCTAAATAATGAAAGACAATATGGACGATCATTGTTATCAGAACCATCGATTATCAGTCTCATCATCGTCGTCTCAGTCTTGACTCTGTCATCAGCAGTTATCAATTTCATTATCGAAATCAACCAACGTTGTCTTCATTATTGAGTACCGTCATGATCTCTGTGTTTGGGTTTTTGTTACATTATAAAATGTACAGGAATCGATAAACCTTTATTCAGCTGCTTTCAACAAGGTTTAGGTCATTTTGATGCCGCAAGGCAATCTGGTACAGCAAGATGTGACCAAGTATTACTTACCACAGGTGCAACGTCCCTGGTAAACATTGTCCAAGTCTTGTAGTCCATATCGTGCAGAAAGCGCTTATGATTGTGCTCACCAAAGCCGTACACATATTGAGATGGGAGCTTAGTCGATATCTGAAGGAACTGATCCTCAAATGTAAAGCCACCCACTGACGAATCAAAGCTAGCGAAAACAATTATCGAAAGAGCGAAACATATTTTGAAGGCAAACGAGCAAAAAGGTCCATGATGGTTCTGAATATGATGCCTGCCTTATGAGCTTAAAGTGTACCAGGAACAAATGTCTCTTGGACACAATTTTTTCTTTAACTTTGCATTCTTCCTCAACGTGCGAAAACTTTCTACTTTCCAATTTATCTAAATGCATTGAAATGTGCACTTTTTAAACAAAGAAAATTATTCATGCTTTAATGGACAACTGAGTGCCCTGTTGCAAAATTTACCTGCTGAAATCATTTCTCAGAGTGGGATTAATGCTTATTGTTTGCTCTGGACATAAACAACAATGAATCAACAAAGAGAAGAAAAGTGATTCTAGCAAAATCTACAAAAATTCTTGACTTTTTTATGTGCAATCCAAAGTAACATTGAGGCTTTCTTCCTGAGATGACATCACAGTTTTGCTCATGAATATGGAAATACATCAGCATAAAAACAAAAAAGGCGCTAAAATACGGTTTTAAAAAAACACCAAAAGTTTAAAATAAGGTTAGCTGAGACATGAAAAAGCACTCTGAAGGTCTGTATTGAAACAAATCGATTGCAACCACCCTTTAAGCTAATTGCGTCTTAATAATACTAGAAGACGGTTTTCAGAATCCACTTCTACTTCATAATCTTAAAACGTTGCAAATTACCAAAATTGGTATTATGCTTACACTGTCACTCCTGTGCTCCTCCGTTTTACTTGGATACTGAACGGGTGCTGCTTGTAGCTGACCTCATACATGGGGTTAGTCGGCTTCTTGGTCGGTTTGGCGATGTTGACTGCTTCGCTTGGAACTTCGTATCGGGCCTTCTCTGCGTCTGATATCTGCGTATGAAAACGAGAACACAGAGAAAAAACGCATGTCCCATAAAACTAGGTCAGGTTAGTCCTCAAAGAATTCAAGTATTGCTGCGAGATATTTTACATTTAGGCCTACACAGGAGCGGAAACCCGTGGGGTATTTATGTTTATGGTATTCAATAACAATGACACAGCAGCCGGGCTGTGACGTATAGAACGCTAATTGGTCAGAACGCACAGATTCAGCGAGGTATCTTTCAGGAAACTTACACTTTCGTTTCTAAAGGCAGCGGTTTTGCAACCGAGAGCATGGTCTGTCCGTTCTGAATGTAAACAACCCGATAGAAAACCATGTGTTCTCATGATATTTCGGACAGCGCGAAAGTGTGCTACCTCGCGCGTGTGTATTAGCTTTTATTAAAACAAAAAAAAGCAGGAGATGCAGGCAGATGGAGTATTGTGAGCATAGACTGATAACTATCCATCACGCAGCAAACGAGCACATACAAATAAACAAGCAGACAAACGAACAAAAATCTTCTACACATTCCTCCCCAAATACATTTTATTAAGTTGAAGATACAGACATGGGCAAAGATCCCGGGGGGATAGGGGATATATCCCCCCCCCCCACTTTTTGACGGGGAGGATATCAATATACTCACCTCCACACACACTCAGGTGCCCCTACTTGAAATGGGACCCTAGACCCTATGCCGTGTCACGCTCCGCACAAGGATGACCTTTCGGAAATCATTCCCCCAGATGTGACAAGAAATCTCCACCCATGGCTACAGAAATGTTTACCTTGAAGTGCAAGCGATAGTCCGTCTGGAACTCCACCTCAAGTTTGAGGTTGTCGATATCAGCACCATAACGGCTAGGTATGCCCTCTAGCCGGATAAGCCTAGCCTCCCAGCCTAGGTTAGTCTCTGTAGGTGGGTTAGTCATCTGATAGCCGTAGGTCAGCGGATAGAAGCAAAGAGGAGCCTTGGCATTTGTAGCTGGCTTCCAGAAGCAACCACGTGCCTCACAGAGCTCTTGAGAAGCTGGAGTATCGAGGTCAGGAAAGCAGTCGAATCTAAACAACCAAAAGGACCAGGAAACCAAAGATATGCCTGTATCCAGGGAGCCGACAGGGGCTACAACCTTCCCTCTATACAAAGAGGTTTTTTGGGGGGAAAATAATCGAAGAACCGAATATGGAAGCCCATGTTGGCCTGGGAAATGCCCTATAAGGATACATATTAGATTTCTAAATGTAGGGAAGCGTGTTTTAGGGGTCACCATAGTTTATTTGGTACGCCGCCAAGCCCTTATATATAACAAATTCCCGCGAAGAAAGTGCGGTGGGCGCGCGAGCGCGAGTGATATACATGTATTCCTTTCCAGTGAGGGCACTAAAGAGAATCTTGGGGTTACCATGTTACCATGAAAACTAGCTTTTTACAATGTAATAGCTGATTTGTAGTCTCTTCACCTCCGCAAACTATGATTTCATAGTGTGTGACCTTGTCTTTACTGTCTTGATTGTAGAAGTTCCACGTGAAGTGTACAAGTAGCATTGTTCACTGTACATGTGCATTGTACTTCAGCTGTTTGTTTGTGCAGCGACTCGTATGATTTACACTAGGGTTTCGATCTTTACTCCACACACTACTCATTATTAGGTGCTGTCTGGAAGGCCAAGTCCACGGTCGCACACCGGCCTGGCATTCGGGGAACTCGAGGAATTCGGAAAATACGGAATTTCATGTGGAGGAATAACAAGAAATTTGAATCATTTAATTGTAATCATACCTGAACATGACGTGTAAATAAAACTCTGTATATTTCGAGACAGTTACATTTGGACTCTTTCTGCCCGTCTTCCTTTGCCTTGGCGTCCTTAAACTAACAATTTAAGCGGAATTCTTTATAGATGGCCAATCATTACAGAAATATATGGCCACCAATAAAAAATTCAGCCACCAGAAAAGTTTGGTTCAAGATCACCATTGCCTGTATCTGAACAGATTATTTTCTGTAACCTACTTGAACGTCAAGGAAAGTATGATTCCATTAAATCGTATAGTGCATCCTCGTCACAGCCTACCACTTAGCACATTAATGTTGCCATACACATGCACACAATGGAATTTCGTTTGTGTGCTCCTTTTGTTCGGTCGTTTGCGTCCGGTTGTTGGGTTGTTTTGAAATAGGCTTCAAGGTTTGTGTCCATATTTCAGAGTGTTTTTTTATGAAAGACGTTTTGTAAAACTTATTATTATAGACGACTCTGAGTCAAGCTTTTATCTTTTAACCTGCATTCAACAGCTATTTATTGGCCTTCATGATGTTACATTTAATTGCTTGCAATTTGCAGGTTTTAAGGTATAATTCTGATATATTTGATACTTTTCTTAATTCGGTCATGGTTTTGTCTAAAAATACGCCTTTATGGGACTATCACTGCAACAACCACCAACATGAAAAGGTGGGGTCTTAGCCGCTAGTCAGATGTAGGTCATACCAAAATAAAATGAATCACCAAACCTGTCTTCATCCTTGACGTCCCGATAGAACTGCTGGTCAGGGGTGAGTTGGGTAGGTTTTGGTTCCTCCTCTGTGCCGGTTTGGGTGAGATACACCGGTAGAAAGATGGCTAAAAAGACCACGACTACCAACACTGCCGAGACACCAGCGATCAGGACCTTGTTCGCCATATTGCTGTGTTGAATTAATACCCAGATGGAAAATCAGGAAGTAGCTTTCATGCAGAAGTTTGATAGCCACATTACTTTGATCTCCACAAATAGCTTACGTAAAATTGCTTATCTGCTTTGCTGGGCGTATTAACCCATAAAAAGTCAACATGTTTGCTCAAACCTAGGTCATTGTTGAAACGTTTTGACCTTTACACCCATTAACCCTAAAAAAGGCCGGAGCGGATTCGCCCACCCCAATTTTTTTCTGATATAGCCGCAGTGCATGTTTTTTCAGGAGGTGAACCTTAAGGATGTTTTAGAGTAACTCTTTGCGGTTATTTTGACCCCACAGCTGGATTGGCATGAAATGTTCCATGGTAAAGCACATAGGCATAGCTGCTGTATCCCAGATAGCACCTTGAAAATACTTAAGGGGGTAGGGTGTCACTAACTAACTACGAGTAGTCACAGAACAAGTCACAGGTTGTTCCAAGAAGTAATTTAAACTTCTGAATATTGCTGTGAACAAACCCATGCTCAATATCACTTGTTCCAACATGTACGATGACGATGTCTGGGGCCTGTCAAACTAACCATGACGTTGCAACTTCCTGATACCGTCAACTGTCCTACCACATTGCGTATGGATTGACACATCCAACAATTCACTTTGAACATTGTCCTTCAAGTACTTTTCCAGATTCAGAGGAGTGTTGCCAGAGAGGTGGTCTCCATGACCTTAAGACAAAACCAATACGTAAACATGTATTTTCTCAGCCATGGAAACAGTCTGAAAGAAAGCTTGAAATTCATAAGGGGGCCGTACTCCACTCCACCAAACTTAAGACATAGAGGTGACATGTATCATTACGTTTTTTATAACGTTGCATGATTTTATAAGTTACCCTGCCTGGCCCGACTTTTATGCTCCCTCCCTAGACTGCGCTCGCCGTATCAAACCGTAGAACGAACACACCGCATCGCACTGGGCCTGTAAACCAGTTCCAAAAAGTAAGTAAGCTCTCTTTCAGTTGGCTACTTGCTTAGTCTTGCGCAGATCCATAACATTGTTTTTGGCAAATGTAGTGGCATACACTTCTGAAATCGATTTCTGCCCTTGGTGGTTGCTTTCAGTTGTTTTCAAACGGTTTCTTTCCGATGCACCAATACTTGTCTAATAAGTAATTCTTCCAAGCCAAATATCACGTTTATCCCTACCCCCGAAGAAAAACCGCAAAAAAAGCAAAAACCATTGAATTTAAAAGTTTAGTGACCACATTTAAACGCCGTATGACGAAAATTCATCATTACCAATCAAATTAATCTAAGCTGTCAATGAATCTAAGCAGTGGCGTAAATCTGTGCTGGAAATTGTAAGGGGGATTGGCAAGGCCGGGGATCACTTGCCTGGCCATGGAAATTTGAAAACTGGGATGGGGTACACAATATGCATTACATGGGGGCAATGTCCATGATATAGATTTAGACCTACATCTGTAATATGTTTCAAATTTTTGCAGAATCTTACATTAGATGGCATATTTATGGCTTCATAATTTTTTTCTTTTTTGTGATACTGCAAACATTTTAGTAGTTGGGAAATCCTAAAAAATTCTTCACAATCTAAATTTTTTTTATTTTATTTATTTATTTTTTTGCTCATCACAAAAAGTGGTGGGATGATTCGATAGCCAATACCCCATCTCAAAAAAGTGTATGGGGGATATGGTACCCCCATCCCACTGGATTTATTTACCTAATGGAACCATTTTAAGATCGAATCATTCTTGTATCAATCACGTTACACATCGATAACATTTGTCGTAAGCATTTCCTTGTAGATTAAGTAAAAGACCAGTTGGACAGATCAAATATAGATGACACTGAATAAAAAAATCAAGACATTTATGAATAATGTTGAAAGAAAAGAGAAACGGTGGAGAGTTATCTTTATCCGCGACCATATTTAAACTGCATTTTACAAAGTTCGACAAACTTGTCATCAAAGAATTTTTCTGAATGACAACAATCGGCGTAGACGGGTTAAAATCAATGCTCAACGAAAATGTGTGCCTATGGTTGGAATTCGATTTAACCATGGAGGAAGGACACGGTGGCAGTTTGAACTGCCCGGGCAATAACATCTGACCAATTACCGCTTTCTGGCTTGCCTGGTACGTCCATAGCCAGAAAGCAGCGAGAGCTTGCTAACGCACCTATTTCACAACCATAAGTCTCCTTTGTACCTATGACTATCTATGCAATTTGTCGTTGGTAATCTACATCCTTAAAACTTTGTGCGTACTGAAGTAAAGGAAATTGAATATCCATGCCATCGTTGGTGCTTCGTATGATCTGACAACATCAAATTTAACGCTTGCGCAGTTGCTTGTATTAGGCCGTGTTCCCAAAGTGTTTATGTGCAGTTATTGCCCTTATCGAACGCTTTCTTCTAAACATATTTTGGGAATAAATAGCCAAGTTGTTTATAAGATTTTGTATTTTATTTGAATCATTTTAAATTTGGAATTTATACAAAACGGTTTATGAGATCTCATGATCACTCCTTGTGATGAAATACATCGTATGGATTATTGTATCAAAATTAAAAAAAAGAAAGTATATTCACGATGGCAGAATTAAATCTAATGTTTGAGATTTTTCTTCTCTATCTCCTGGTCACGGTGATGACTTGTAGTTAACTGCAAAAAAAAAACAAAACAAACAAAAAAATAAACAAAAACAAAAAACCCACCACAAATATATTGCTAGGATATTACTGCCCCACTTGTCTTGCTAAGCTGCAGGCAGTAATCAGGCATTTTTGAATGTTTACTATTGTCTGACCGCACAGCGATGATCATCGAGCAATTTGAAGTGCCAGAATTACAACTCGTTCGGTATCCTTTCTCCATGATTTAACAGTCCCAAAATAGCAGTTCATTTGCCACAGTTTGAATTCGATTCAGCTAATCTGGTGTAGTTCGTCGTTCACGTAATTTTGTTACTCCAAAACAGAGAAAGCATATCAAGGGGCAGAAATGCCAGATGCTCATAAAGCCAAGTCTAGGGGACCTGCATAAGAGGTTGTTATTACTGGACGCCAAACAGACTTCACACTCAGTTATCATTCCCAAGTGTTCAGTGCGAAAGTGTCGAATCCGAGTCGACGGCAATATTTTTCATGACTGGTTTCCATTTTGCACTCCACACTTTCACGCATGACACTGTGGCTACCGAAACTAGGTTAGCTGCAAAATATTTGCAGTACCATTCCGATCCTAATGAACGATAACGTAGACACACACCAGGTAAAATGTTTAACAAGTTTAGTACTGTCGCAATAGGTGCCATGGTTGTCGCAAGGAGGGTCCAATCATTTTCCAAGGGGCAAATTACTCAGCAGCAAACTTATGAGAATCCATCAGCGGTTGAAGGGGGGCAGGGATTCCGACAACTTTCTAAGTAAATTTGTGTTTCATTATATCCCTACCCACCTGTATCTTTTGTTTTTCTTCCCCAGTTTTCTTTTCTTTTGTTTTTCTTCCCCGGTTTTCTTGTGTTCTTTTTGCTTTTCCAGTTTTGCCCCGCAAAGCCCTCTATGGATGCTTTATCAACGTACATGTTGGTCAACATACATATCACAGTGTATAAATGGAACTGTACGCTCATAACAATCATAGCACCCTCGACAATTTAGTTAAGCAACGTCGAGTGTTTTGACTGCGTTAGGTAAATCAGTTTCCACAAATAACCACATAAGGTAAATATTATTAAGTATCCTTCAACACGCAACTGGTTATAAATAAATCGCCTCAGCCAACGATCCAAATATAAACAACAAAAGCTCGGTTTTATTGACCTTCCAATTTGACCTGTATGACTGCAGCATGCACATTGGCGAGATACGCGCATGCAGAAAGCGCATGCTTAGTGTACTCCCATTTGGACTAATCTTAACACTTTCATAGCTTTAACAAAAACAAAAAGGTAACAATATTGTTTCCAGCTCAGGTTAAACTGTTCTCTGCTAAAAGAAGCCTGCAAAACTTGCTTCACCACATAATTTGCCTATTCAAGACTTAAAACATATCAAACACACGTACAACAGTCATCGGGTATCAGAGGGCAAACTAAATGCTGCACAGAAAGTTCAGGTCCTAGTTCACTCTACTTTGAAAAGAATCCACAAAATATTCATTATGTTGTATGTATACACGGTAGCAAGTCCGCATAAATGAGTTGGATTTACAGCAGATAAAGTCTATAGATGTATACTCTCGATAAACGTTAAACACCCCACCAAAGCTCCGACTGCCAAATTTTCATAACATCAAAGTTGGTTCAGCTCTGCTTGAAACTACATGTGATTGAGATTTCCCATATTTCGCAAACAACCATTTTTTCACATACATGCAACACCTGACAACTTTATAGACTGATTGCGCCCGCTAAGTCACGTGACATATAGTGGGTATTAAATATTAACAAACACTACGTCCACAAAAAGCAAAGTGTTTCATAGGTATCAATTACCAAAAATAACGCGGACGGTAGGTACCGTACTCAGACTACACATGTACTGGGTACTAAACCATAACCGGACTGTATAGTTTGTAAACAACACTCAAAACACACGTTGTTATGGGTTGATACCCACTATAGGTCACGTGATTTAGCAGGCGCAATTGGTCTATTCAGACCCTGAAAAAACCGAGTGCTGAAGAGAAAAGGGCAAGACCAAAGAAAAAACATAACCAAGAGTTAGAGGTGCCTCTAAGTTCAGCAAATCTTACAGGCCCAGGAAAGCATTTCTCATTATCTAGACACATGATTTAATTAATATAAAAAAAAGTCTGTATCCATTGACAACATCTTTACTAAATAACTAACATCTTTAATTTGCTTTTCTTCCACTCCACTCATAACGGCATATGGTTTCCTTAAGGCCTTTAAACGCATGAAATTAAAACAATTACAGGCTTTTAAGGTTAAAGTTACTAAAGCTCAACAAGGAATTCTCGAGCATGCAGCGTGCTTTTGGAGCATGTTGTTAAACTACATATTAAGTAACATTGCTTAAATCACCAGTAATATTTATTTGAGGCATGCATAAATATCTGAGTGCTAGTTTATTGCTATGAGCAATATTTTGCCATAAAACAAAGTACATGTACAGGCATGTATTAATAATGATCGAAAATATTAACTCAAGCCTACTTTTCATTAAAAAGTTACATTAACCATGATCTTGACTGCGTGTTAATATGCAACTAGTCAATAAGATTAGTAAATGAGATCGAAGTAAACTCTAAGCTCTTCGGATGTATAAATTTCTGTTTAATAAACGCATTTGTTACTCTTACATGAATGACCCCAAAACTGACCCCTTCCAATGATGTTCCTTCATGTACCGGTACTTACATGGCTCCACATCGCACATCTCAGTATGATTATTTCACTACTTGGCATCCAATTTGAAAAAACAAGAACTTCAGCAAAGTGCAGAGGATAAAGAGAAAGTTGTGACCGGTTTTCGTATTACCTTCTGTCACATTCATAAAGTTTGGTTCAGAAATTTCCACATGATGATGAGTCTTCTAATTCAGCTAGCTTCCTGTGCCAAGATTGTTTCTAAAGGCACACTGAGCAATCAGTATGGCGACAAATGTTCAGGACAAATCGCACAACCCACAGACATATCTGTCCAGGCTTGTAATACAGTTGATCACATGTCAGATCACAAGACAGATTATAAGTAAGAGGAGGATAAATACCGCCACAGTATAGAGAGAGAAATGGCTTCACCAAAGTTTATTTCAATGGCTGATCGCTTCACTTGAAACTGGGAGACTGATGGATGACAAGTAATTCCCCTATGAAGACTTTTGGCGCTGTGATAACAAGTTTGTCAGCTGTCTATTTACTGTCATGACTGCCCCTAAATTACCCAATCCTAACTTCCAAACATACCATGCAATACCTTAAAGACAATCACCCTGTTTGTCTCATCCTTTTCTTGTCAAACTTCAATCTTGAACTGTCTGACAACTCTAAAATTACATCACACAAAAATAGTGAGAGAGTAGATTGTTAAAATCTCTAAATCAATGTGATTTGGGAAGGGGGTGTAAATCTGGAGAATGCAGATACAATTTTTCTAAATATTCATGTTAGAAATTCCCACCTTACTAAAAAATTCTGTCTGCTGTGATCTAAATATTAAACCAGATCTTCCCTGACTATCACATGTTCAACTTTATAAGACTTCCTACTTAAACTGGTACTTCTCAGCCTACCAATGGACTCTCAATCAACTCTCTTCAGCCTCAACGCCTTCCTCCATCCTTCTCTGATGTCTACTTCTGTTCCCCTTTGCCGTATTTCTTGCTAGTGGTCTCCACTTTCTTCTGGCGTCGTTTCAGCTCATTGGGGAACTTGTCATAGCACTTCTTGCAGACAGGTTTCAGGTCAAACTCAATAAACTTACTCCTGTTGATAAGTGATATCACAGTTCAGTTACATCTTAAAAAGTGTCATTTATTTATTGCCAGTATTAATGGTTTGTTTCTCATCAACCAGTGAATGTGATGTCCAAGCTTACAAGGTATAACCATAAATAGGAAATACATGTAAATGGTTGAGAAGCAAACAAATACAAGAAACCAAAGATTGTGAAGTACTTCAAATTTAGTAATTGCTATCCCACCTCACAAACTGAGTTGCCAGTCACCAAAGCAACTTTTTTGAGTTTAAGGCCTTTGAAGAATCTGACACAATGTTTATCAACACTGCAGGAACCCTCAACTTTTGTTGACCATATAATGCCCATATTCATTAGATGCTAAACTGAGTGAAACATCCAAGCAAAGAGCTTAGTTGGCTATTTACAGTTACATTGACCAAAAATTACTGAATACGAAGGCCCAACATCTCATTTTGTCATATGAATGGGAATAAATATGTGCTTGGCCGGTATCAGCAGACTGGATGCGACTAACGCCAAGTACATACTTATTCCTTGCTTATTATCCTTTGTTTACATGTGTGGTTTCCTACGGAGTCTCCATGGGTGCATGCCATTGGAGAGTGCACATGTATACAAAGCATGATATCATTATGCTGTAGCCTAATGATTATTTATGATACTGTACAGATATAACCTCATCCATTGCAAGTCCCTTGTAAAGTTGATGAATTTTCTCTTTGTATTTATTTATGTTGTTGTACTTCTTGTGTATTTTGCATGCAAATGAAATGACTTTCCAAAATTGGATAATGAATTGAATTGGATTAAAAATTGAATTATGGTCAATTGAATTGATTGTTACATGCGTTCAGACACAAAAAACAAGGGCCAAAGAACCAAAAACTGATCACTCCTGGAAATTTCTGGAAGTAGTAAAATATCCATGTGTAGAGTGATTGAAATGACAAAGCTTACTTGGCACTTAGCAGGGTATCACAGGTGCTGCAGAAGAAATGATCCTCACACCAGGTCTTGTTCATGGTACACATCACTATAGGAGAAAACAGAATTTGAACCGTTTCACAAAAGGCAGATGGATTTGTCACATCTCCGTCAGCCTTATTCGTAGCAAGTACTAATTACAACAACTTATACACCCTCAGGCCTCAACGTCACATCCAACTTTTGATATTTTTTCCAACCAGGTACAATTTTATATCTTGGGCGACGGAAGTTGTGTTTGAAGATAATGGATCTTGAAGAAACTGTTGAGGCAGTAACATCACATATAGTTCACTCCTTGTTCAACTTGTTTTTCATGTTTGCTAAGCACCTACTTAGGGACTTGGCTGACAAGCAAGCCACACATTGGCAAATATTGAAATGGAGGATATGTCCTTATTAACCATATTTCTGCTAGTGATTACTGAAAGGTACTGTGATACTTACTCTCTGATGTGATGGGCTTATTGCAGTAGAAGCACATGTTGCCAAAAAGCTGAAAAAGACACAAATGGTAAATTTCACCGAAAGTATGCAGGTAGTGATGTAATCCATACACTATGAAAAACTGTGGTACAATGCTTCCACCATTAGTAGGGAGATCACTTCAGAATTATACAGTGTCCAGTGCTTCAAAGTCAGTCAAATGATCCCTCTGTGTCCTTGTAATGTGGCAAATCAAGTCGAAGGAATTTTTGACTGTCTACTATATACTATACATGTGCACAGTACATATTCCCAGAAACAATACAGACCATGTTGTATGTTTGCCACTGTTCCTTCACAAGTACGTTTCCTTCACTCGGAAGTCTCTACAACCAGTCCTAAGCAGTAAGCATGTCTTTGTTCTTGTTATTTAAAGCCAATTTTTAATGTGGGTTAAAAGTATACAGAAAATTTAAGAGCAGGGGGGCACATTCAGTAT